CTGAAACTCCGAAATCACAAAAGAGTTCCCCTACCGGGTCTGTATACTTTGTGACTTTGTTCCCGGTTACCGGGTCTGTATACACTCCCTTTTAATATCTCTCAATGGAGAGTGTAGGACCGGTAGATCTATTCATTAAAATTTTGTCAGGGGGGAGATCCCCCTGAACCCCCCTCCTCCGCCCCCACCTACCCCACATTCTCGCGCAATAATGTACGAGTGGTCCAGTATTCTCCAATCTTCCCATTCAGATGCTTTCGACTCTCTAGATCTAGATCTAGATATAGATATAGATCTAGATATAGATTCTGTACTAGATCTAGATATTTCTAGATTAAATGTGTACAATTTCAGATTTCAACACAACGAGAAGTTCTCATGTCTCATGTAAAATGAGTTTAGCCTTAGAAGTCACACTGGTCGGATTTCAAAAGTCTGAACAGCCATAGTTCTTCATGAACATTGTCAATAGTGGGTGTAGCCACCCCGTTTTATCAAACACTCGGCACAGCATCGCGCATGGACAGGACATGCTTTCGGAGAATTTTTTGGGGAGGACACCCGTAACGAGCGACCACTATGAGACAGAGCAGAATTGAGGGCTTGGGGTAGGGGTAAGGCGTAAGGGTAGGGTTAGGGCTAGGCGTCTTCTTTATTGTGTTTGATGTGGTGGTCGCTCGTTACGGAAGTCCTTCCACTTTTTGGGGTAAGTTCTACCACTCCTGGACGAGGTAGCCCAAGAGTTGTTGAAGGTTTTTTGCAGGAGGGTGGTTGTCCCTTTTTATCTACCTGTCAATGTGATCCCATATGTTCTCTATTGGGTGCAAATCCAGACTACAAGCTGGTCAGACCATGCGGTTGACAGTTCGCTACTGCAGAAAGTGCACCACGATGCGTGCGCGATGTCGATGTTCCAAGGCATTGTCGTCCTGCGTACAACCTGGGGTCTAATCTGATGCAGGAGAGGAACATCAAAGGGACGCAGGATTTCCTCCCTGTACCTTGCCGCGGTCAAATTGCCCTGTATATGGTACATGGGGACCTGTGGTGAGCTGAGAAGCCTCCCTACACCAGAACGGACCCTCCACCGCAGGGCGCCACCTGCTGGATGCACTCGGGGTGGAACAGCTCTCCTCAGCACCTCCAGACGTGGGCTTGCCTGTCTGGGTGCAGCAAGTTGAATCTGGATTCGTCCGAGAAGACTACCTCCTGGTACCACTGACGTCGTGTCCACTGTAAATGGCGAGCAGGCCACACCTGGCGAGCTGCTTTGCGGGGCGGCTTGTGCCTTGGGCGCCTGGCAGGGACACGAGAAGCGAACCTGGCTATACGAATACGGTTCTTTGCCGTCTCCTCGCTCTCGTGGACATTGGCTGTCACCCGTAGTTGGTCCTTGGTGACATTTGCAGTGGTGGTTCGTGACATCGCGGCCTGTTTGACGATGAACCGGTCGATGCTGTTGTTGGTCAAACGGGGCGGTTCTGGTCGAGGCCTGTCTAGACCCTTCCGGTTGCTCGCCATCGTTCTTGCAGCCTCTGTATGACTGATGGGGACACCCCAAGAAGTTGTGCAACAACTGGGAACTTGGAGCCAGGTAAGGGCTCGTCCTCTGTCGACGTCAGGCAGCGAGCGTCATTGGACCATCGTGTTGTAATGAAACATGGCTGAAAAACGCTGGCTTATAAAGGGTTGTAAGTGAGCAATATTCACAGCTAAGACATCTGTTTAGCACGTGCCAAGCTTAGTTTTAGCTAACAGTCCCTATGCCAATGTTGCTGAGTCAGATAAATTTAGCCCATTTTATACGCTTTCGGCTGTGTTTCAGAGTGCCCTGCGCCGTCGCTATGAGGCTGGTGCTGGCAAATTTGCAGTACATGCAAACTGTGTCTAGTCGTCAGTGTGTGTGCCAAGTTTGGTTGACTGATCTTAACGGGTTTGTGAAATATTGAAGTTTGAATTTGACAGGTGAAAACACAAGCTGTTCCTTGACTTTTTTGGGCGAGTTTAGATCTACTAGAGATCTAGATCTAGATTATATAGATTTAGATATCTAGATTCTAGATATTAGATTTAGATCTAGCCCAGATTCTAGATCTAGTCTAATCTAGATTAAAGATGGACCCTAAGTCAAAGTGTAAGTGTGAAAGTTAATATGGAAATTGTTGGTATTAAACATGTTGAAAGACAAGTGGTGGTGGAAGTACAGGGCTTGAATTAGGTGTTCAGGAGGGCAGGCAAAAATTTTCTGGGGCACCAAGGCAAAAATTATAGGTGATCATTTTGTTGATTAAAGGTGGTAATACTGGATCATGCATCACAACGTTTATATAAATAACAATACAATTTATTCTTGCTCTCAGCAAAAGTATAGAGTTATCGGAAAATTTGTAAAATCATGAATGAAAACTAAGTAAATCACTAGATGATCAGAATATTGAAAATATGTTGGCTCACACAACATAGAAAAAGACTGGCTTACTGTTTGTCCCTTATGGGAAAAAACAAGTGATTAAAAAAAAAATATCACCAGAGAAGATGATTTCAGAGAATAGTTCTGTTTTATCAGGACGTCTATTTGTGAGACACATCTCTTGCCACTTGGCAATGCAGGGTTCTGGGTTGAATTCTTTGATCTCAGGACCATTGGGACATATAAGCATGATCTTTTCAAGCACATCTCTCAAAAGCAAATGCCTTCAGTCACCAAGGATGCTCCTCTTCACTTGTCTTGTTCTCACTCAGAGGTAATAAGCCCTGACTTTCGGAGAGAAACATAAGCCTCTTTCTTTATTTTCAGTGTTGAGCATCCTTGGTGTTGAAGCAGTCTCATAATGAACTATTAAGTCATTCATCTGTGTCTCACCATATTCTTTCAACTCATCTATTTTGTCGATTACAGGCACATTTGTCCTGTCAAATATCCCTGCACTCTTCAAAACTTTACCTTCTGATGTGCCAGAAAATCTTTCTTCCAAGCACAGCACCAGCTTATCCAACACATCTTTCATGTTTGTATTCATCACACTTGCACTTTCTCTCACATCTGCAGTCTTGTTTTTCATCCAGTTCTTTTTTTAGACACTGCTGAGGTTTGGTTAATGTGAGTGTTCGCACTTGCCATGACAAAATGGACACAATGGTCAAGCTGAGCAGTGTCTGACTGAAGCTTTGATGAGATTTCAGACAAGTCTGACAGGATTCCTTCACACCCCCCCCCCCCCTCTCTCTCTCTCTTCTACGAGTGTATCTTAAAAATTAAAAATAATCAATAATGCCCCCCCATCCCGGAGTCTGTTACTGTGTACTTAGACACTGACATTGGGTAGATCTAATGAGAGTGCAGTCTTTTGACCTTTGACATACTACACAGCCCTAGATCTAGATGTAGTAGGCAATTCTAGTTCTAGATCTAATTCTGGTTTTACGTGTCGTGTCGTAAGGCCAGCTCTATTCAGACTCCGAATATAATTTTTGTCTATTCGGCCGGACTCGGGTCCGAAAAAAATGTTTTATTTATTCGGACTCAGCTTCTAAGTGAGTTGTGTGGGTGTTTAAGGAGGTTACATAATATAACTGTCGTTGGGGGATTTTACGTAAAACCAGAAGTGTCAACAGATCTTCACAAGTACTGGTGAACAGTGTTTTGAGTAAACTTTCTATGTGAAAGATACAATGTAGTAGTGTTGCACTTGCAAATTTCTAAATGGTATACTATTTTTTGCCATCAGGTTTTAAACTAAAAAAGCACAGGTACTGGACTCTGAAGTAACAACCTCATCATGTTGACAAACAAGGTTTTCATCAAGAAAACAAAGAGTGGAGGGGTTATGAAGATTGTGCGGGAGCACTATTTGCGTGATGACATTTCCTGTGGCTCTCCTGCTTGCGACAAGGACTGTGAGGCTCTTGACAGATATCCGCTGGAAGAGAAGCCAATCAGCGACAGCAAGCTTGTGCCAGTTCCTCACTACATAGTACCAGACACAAATGTTGTACTGCATCAGGTAACTAATGTACTAGAATTATATAATATTTCATTACATATGTTTAAATGTTCTTGAAGACTGAAAAAAATATGGTTGGTCTACTATGATGCTACTGTTCTACTTGACACCTTAATCCTTCCCTAACCAATTGCCATTAGCACAGGTAGACCATGGTCAGTCAGATAGATTGTCATGTGGACTGACACCAAAAATACTCCCCTTTTCTTTACCCCAATATAGAAAGTTGAATTATTACAAAACAAAGGCATGTTTCACAATACTTTTTTTCCGATGAACCATCTATAAGCTTTCTTTATTGTAAGGTCATTGTAAGGATACCCAGGCTTATGACTGTGTAAATCTTGTTTGAAATCTAATAATAATAATAAATAGCATTTGTATAGCGCATGTCCCCACTGGAAAGCAAGCTCTATGCGCTTTACACTATATTAAATTACTCCGGCAGACCATAGAACACTTAGAAACATTCTCAGCTTCCTGGGAAGCATGCAGTGCAAGCAGCTGGTTAAGCGCTCAAACTCTAACAAACTGACAGGATCTTTCAGTCTATAGCTGGGTACCCATTCCCACCTGGGTGAAGTGGGGAAAATTCATGTAAAGTGCCTTTCCCAAGGGCACACCGTCGGGCCCGCTGCTCGAACCCCCGAGCCCGCAACCTCACGATTACGAGTCCTGTAGCCTAACCACTGTTGTATATTGTATACTCAATTCTTCACAGCTACTCTTTTGAAAATCGTATTAATTTGTTTATTAAATTTTTCTTTGCAGATTGATATTTTGGAGGATCCAAGTGTCAAGAATGTTATAATCTTACAGATTGTCCTGGATGAGGTATTTTACTTTTTGTCTTACTGATAATTGTTATTGTCTCTATTTGCTGTCTGCTTTATGGTAATTAGCTTTTCATGTAATCCTTTTTTAAAATATTGCTTTCAAAACGTTGTTGTCTTTCTTTGTTGGTATATGTTACCTTAAAATTTTATTTTTTTTGTCAATCCTTTGCAGATTCGTCACCGAAGTGCACCTATCTATAAACGAGTGAAGGACATGCTCTGCAACTCTGCCAAATGTTTTTACACCTACTGCAATGAGTTCAACATGTAAGTAGGGTCTGTCATGCCATAATTAACTCTACTTAATCTTGCATTGCTTTATTCTGATTATATACGTATAATTACTGTTGACAGATTTATGTAATATGCTACACATTTAGTCTTCTATTGTATGATGAAGTAATGGATCCTTCCTAGACAGATAAATGGATAAATTTCATTTTTGTTAGAGGTTGTATAGCTTAATGAGACAATATTAATTCTGTCTTTCTTGTGAAATGAATCCCCGAATTTGATTTCAGGCACACATATGTGGAAAGGAAACCGAAAGAGTCTGCAAATGACCGCAATGATCGCGCCATCAGGAAAGCAGTAGGGTGGTATGCAGATCACTTGATTAAGGCAGGGATCGAAGTTGTTCTGTTGACTAATGATGCTGATAACAGGAAGCAAGCTGTGGCTGAGGACTTGATGGCTTTTACTGGTAAGTTTACGGGTTGAATTATTATCTCGATTGCAGGATTTGATTTGCTTTCTTTACATGACGGTAATCTGTGAGTTTTAATTTCGGTAAGTATGAAACTTATTCTCTGTAAATGCGTCATGGCTTAATATCTATGAGATGTTTTCTATCAAAGATGATACCAAGAAATAGTATCTTTTAAAAAAAAGTGTACTGCATGTTGTTTTGTTCGGTTTGTTTACAACCTGAAAATGAAAAAAAAATAAATGATTCTACAGACTTTTTCTGGAGTCTTACTGTGTTCATAGTTTTATTTGTGGTGACATTTTGGAATACTTTTATTAATCTCATTGTGATTCTTTCTGTTCTACCTTCAGTTCACGACTATGTAAAGAGTTTGTCCAACCAGTCCCTGATTGATCGCCTGGCCAATCCTCTGAACCAGTCGGTAAGGATAGGTCACCAATTTAGACATCATGACTATTGGTAGAGTTTTGGGGACTATTCACCATTAAAATTTTAAGGTTAAAAACTTGTTTGGTGTGGATGCTTAACGAATTTTGTAGTAAGTTAGAAATCTGAAATTTATGGTATTTCTACATTACTTTTTGAAGAGAATTTTATCTGGGAAGATATATGAAGACATTTCTTTGTTTCTCACAAAGTTAATACATTTGACAGTGGCAATAACATACTCTTTATGTTTACTTAGTGTTTCTTTCCTCCCATGAATGCTGTTTTGTTTATTGTTATGATGGAAGAGATTGAACAGTATATTTTCGGCTTTTAGGAAAGTTAAAACATACAGTGGTTTGGCATATTTTTTAAATTGTATTTTGCTGTTCAATTTTTTTTTCCCTCCAGAGTGACTTTGGGGGAAAAACTCTGTTTCCTGAGCACCTCGGATTGGCAGAGATCCAGAAAGGGATTCGATCTGGGAAGTACCTTCAAGGCACTCTTCTCATCAGTCGAGAGAATTACTTGGAAGCTAATGTCAGCGTCAGAGATCAAGAAAACATGGTAATAATAGGTTGAATTGACAAAATAGAGATATGAATTGATACTTGTTACTATTCTGATAAGAATTATTGTTGTGCCACATGGGTTTGCATCTTTTAGAAATATCCCTTCTTGGTTGTGTCGAAAGGTATGGTGTGAAAAAAAGTCGGTTTTGCGCTGTTTTTCTGAAGGATGTACCTCCTTCTTAACTTAAATATTTTAAGAACACAATGAAAATTTTTATTTCGTTTCACAGGATACAGTTTTGAGAGTAAGATATTTCAATCCGATTATAAACATGCAGCAAGTTTTTCCAGTATACAAACAACTTTTTGTCTTCAGAAACCTCAGGTTTAAAACATGGAAATTAATATTCTTTGAGTTTGAAAGGCTTGTGTTGTTTATTTTTATGTACGAATGAGGTCCTATTCCTTGCTGCATTTTTATAGGCTGCCATGTTTTTGTTCAGCAGTTTTAGTACAGATAGAAAAGATAAGTTAAGTTTTTGATGTATATTCCCACCTTGCTTTCTTGCAGGTGTTTGTTCAAGGCCTGTACAACTTGAACCGAGCTGTGAACGACGACAATGTGGTCATTGAAATGTTGCCAGAGGCCGAGTGGAGCTGTCCGTCCTCGATGGTGATGCGAGAGGATGATGCCAAAGACGAGGAGGATGAGGCAAATGAATCGATGACAGATACGGTGGGTAGCTCAGCTGCATCGTCTCAATTATATTCGAATGAGTTCTTCATTGTGCATTTGAAGTTGTAGACTTTTGGACATCACTTAACTAGCACTAAAATAATTAGAACATATATAATGTCATTCTTTCTGCTTAGATAAGGGGTACACTGGGAGGGATATCATGCACTCATTCATCATCATCCAGTGCCAGATCTGCGACAGACATCGGTGATCATGGTTCTCCATTCATTCCTTTGCTCGGATGCTCTCAAAAAAAGCTACGTTTCCCTGATCTTTCCCTGTTACTCTTTTGTTTAGGTTCCCTAAGTATGTTGTTCTGGGCCTACCCCTGTCTCGCTTGCCCTGAATTTTGCCAATGAGAGCTAGATGTTCAAGACCCTTATGTCTATTCAGGTGTCTAAAAAACTGCGTTTGTCGTTTCCTGATTGTTATTAACATTGAACGTCCCACGTGGGCTTCATCAAGCACTAACTCATTACCAGATTATATAAAATATGAAGTCAAACCTGCTGTAAGGAACCCCCCCCCCCCCCCCCTCTTGTGTTTTATCTACATTATAATGGTATTATCCAAGAGCACCACCTGTTTAAGATGATCACTTTTCTCCTTGACATAGACCTGCATGTTTGCCGACAATCGTCTGAAATCCGACAATCGCGACCCGACCCGCGAGCCGGCCAATGCTATCGCTAGGCCCACCTGTATCAGTCAATGTGCGAAGTGCGAGGCCTGGCCAACTGCCAGCTCCCCCTTTTTCTCCCGTCGGCTTTGTCGGCACTTTCGTTTTCGTGCCGACGTCGGCGTTTCCGACATAATTGTCGGAACCCAGGTAGAAATGCGAATACGCAAAAGGACGACGACCTAAATTATCTACTTTCAGTTTCGTGCTCGAGCGGCCATTTGGAATTTTGTTTGTGGACAAATTCAATTGTTCAGATCATGTGGGTTCATTCAAGTCCGATTCACTTGTTCTAGATCTAGATCTAGATTTTTATAGATCATTATAGACCTCAATGGAGGATTCATATTCCAATTCTATTGTGTCAAACCCTATCATAGGTTGTGCTGTAGTATTTAAAAAAGCATTTTATCAGGAACGTGAATTATTTATTTATTTCTAGAATCTAGTTCAAGGCCTATTCCTGTTCACTTGTTCTACAAGATCTCGACCTAGAATCTAGACCTAGATTTATTTAGATATCTAGATCTAGATCTAGATCTATATGGAGGATTCATTCCAATTCTATTGATAATTGTGTTTGTATCAAACCCTATTATACTATACTATAGTCTAGATGTAGATCTAGCAATGTAGATGTAGGTCTAGGCCATACTAATGCATGCTCCTTGTTTGTTTTGGAGTGTGGTTTTTAATTTTTTAATTTTGGACTTTTGCTGGCCTTTTTACATGAGGCCCGTTGCAGGTTCTTTTGAGGGGTATGCCTAGGGTTAGGTCTCTTCTTTATTGTGTTTGTTGGGGTGGTCGCTCGTTACTCGGAAGCCCTTCCTTATGACACCCACGTAAGCTCTTATGGGGGGAGGGGGGGCGCAAAATTTTCAGACAATCTGGTTGAGGCTCACATGCAGGTCTATTGACAATGCATGGTCATCTTGGACTGGTACTATTGCACTTACTTTCTGCATTAAATTGTTTCTTTAATATAGTTCATTTTTTTTTTCTTTTTAGGAAACACTTATTCGCAACAAAGTCCCGAAAGAGCTAAGACAGCCAACTGGGCATGTGGTTGGCATCATCAAGCGGAACTGGCGACAGTACTGTGGAATACTGCAGCCCTCTGTGATCATGGAGGTATGACATATACAGATAATTTGCTTGTGACGTGGCATATTTTTGCCTACACAGCATTTCACATAGTAGACTAAATATTTATTGTTTTTGTGTTTGTGTGTGCATGTCACTGTGGGTGGTTGGCAGGTGTTCTGGTGTGGGCTGCCCCTTCTTTCCCAGCAAGCATCTATCACCCTTATCTCTCCTCTTTTTTTTTGTATGTTACTATCTAGTCGTACCTCTAATCTTTGACGCTTATATGACGTAATTGTGTTTTAGGTGCCATAAAACTCTAAATTTTTAAAAAACTAACTACTTTCTCAGAAATATTCTTATCTGTACTGAATTTTTTCTTCCAGAGGACTCGTCATTTGTTCATTCCGGCAGAGAAAAGAATTCCCAAAATTCGAATTGAGACTCGTCAGGCACAGACTCTCATGTCCAAGAGGATCATTGTGGCCATAGACAGTTGGCCCAGGAACTCGAGATATCCGCTGGTCAGTACACTTTGACTTCAGTTTCCATTGCAAAGATTTCCCCACTGGACGTCTGAAAGGAATGAAAGTTATATTTTTTTCAATCAGATATGAAGGGATAAAGCTATGTATATATCTGAGAAAGAAAGGAGTTATGTTTCCATGAGATGTTAAAGAAGCAATATTTTCTGGACTTCGTCTGGATGTGATACTTCTGTTTGACTTGTTATTTACATAGGTTTGATCATGGGCAGTAAGGTGATATTTGTATAGTGGAAATTCCAGCTCAGCAGCAAGTCCAATGCACTTTACAATCTATATTATATCTATTCCGTCACTGTGCTAAGTGATGCTAAGAAAATATATTATTTCCAAAGGCTCGTACACATTGTATATAATTTAATGGTTTCATTAATATAGGATGCTGCCTTTCTTTAACCGTCCCTCTCCTCAGCATGTCTTTTTTCTAGGGTTTGTAAAAATGAATTTTTCTTACACAAATTGTTGATTTTAAGTGTAACAATTTGCATGTACCAGTAAATACATTTACTGGCATATAAAAGCAATAGTTCTGAGGTATTATCAAGCTCCTACCTAGCTCACCCTCATCGTTTTATTGACAGGGTCATTTTGTTCGCTGCCTGGGGGAGGTTGGAGACAAGGATACAGAGAATGAAGTGTTGCTGTTAGAACACGACGTTCCCCACGCCAACTTCTCAGAAGCTGTCCTCAGTTTCCTCCCCAAAATGCCATGGACAATAACAGAAGAGGTAATTATATTTCAATGTGCTGTCATTTATCTCTGCATTGAACTGTAAATAAAGTGGTAGATATTTCCATAGGTTGTCATTTTTGTTCTGCCATGAATGTTAACCCTTTGAGCTATCACTCTCTGAGCATGCAAGACTCTTGCACCCAAGCTCCTTAAAGACATTTGTTAGATATTTCGATGCTTTAAGAAATAATGCTTAAAAAGAAAGTTTGCCCCCATTATAAAGGGTATCAACACCACAGAGAAGGGGACTGTCATCCTTCCATATATTACCCTCACTGACATAACGCACACTTTTAGAATCACAGGAATGCTCCTACTTATTGGGTGCTATCATAAAGGTTTCTCAGGCTTCTTTTTATATATGTCAAACCATAAGAACTTTTTTCAGCCCTGAGTACAGTGTAGTTGTTTTCCTCCTTGAATCTTTTAATGCATTAGGTCTAGTTTGCCTGTTCTATTTTCTCTTTTCCTGTGTTTTTTTTTATCCAGGAAGAGAAGCGAAGGAGAGATCTGCGTCATTTAGACATTTGCAGTGTTGACCCTCCTGGATGCACAGATATTGATGATGCTTTGCACTGCAGAGAGCTTGAAAATGGAAATTATGAGGTATGCCAAGAGAAATTTTATTTGAACTTTTTTTTTTATTTACAGGGTGGGGTGTAATTCCTTCCAAAAATGTGAAATGTGTGATTTTTGATGGTGTCTCAAACTCAACTACATTCTCCTACCCATGTTTGTGTACACATGTGTATTTATTCACTCGATCTCTTTGTCTCTTACTTAACATGCCATTGTTAACGACCAAGACAAATTTCTCCCTGCGAGATGAATAAAAATTGTCATTGTCATTGTCGTTGTCTGTCATATACACATTCTTTTTTTTTTGACAGGTTGGGGTACATATTGCTGATGTGTCTCATTTCATCAGACCAGGAAATGCTCTGGACCAAGAGGCAGCCAATAGGGGTACTACAGTCTATCTCACTGACAAGGTATGAGCAAAATTGCTTCATTGTTTGGGAAAAGTATGTTTTAATGCCCTATCCAACACTGTAAGATTGTTTATGAGCCGAGATCTCCAATTATAAAATCACGTAACCGATAATATATGAACAAGTCAAGTGTGTAGCTAGCATTGATAACTCCTCTACATAACTCAAGTTCTTGAATGATGTGTCATCCCCACTCGGCAGCTAGCTCAAGGTCTTTGCGCTTTACAATCTATTGGCAGTTATTTGTTTTTATGTGAGTGCACATATGTGAGGTAGCGTGGTGGAATCAGGCGCTCGTCAAAATAATGAAATCGAAGACAACAGCAGTTTTCTCCCTGCTTGGCAATTTAAAAAAAAAAATTGTTTTTTGGCTAAACACCTTTTATGTCCATTTACAAACACATTCCTTTGAGGATTTCACCGAAAACGTTGATTAAAGGCACAAAAATATAAATTTACACTTTCCATGGACTCTCCAGCTTTGGAATTTTCCAGGCTTTGTCGGCCATTTTCTCGCTAATCTTACCTCTTAAACCAGGTGACCCCCACCTCCTTCAATCCAAAATATCTTCACTTCTATTGAAGATGGATGGGTAATTTTTTCATTGAAAGCAAGACAAATGAACAAGCTTTAAGATACCAATAACTCAATATGCCCAAAAAATGACTCGAGCCTGATTCCACCACGCTGCCTCAAATATGCACATTTCTGCTTTTTTTATGTGGCATTTTTCTTCTACGTGGATTTCGAAATAAATGAACTTCATTTTTTATTCTTGCATTCTTCTATAGAATTGCTTCATCTTTATGTTTTGATGTTGATATGAGGCTGGTTCTGCATTTACTTGAAAGAAATATAAGAGATTTGCAATGACTTACCTATTTTCATGGATACTGTCATGCCTTTGTGTACAAACAAGATTGAAGTATCTGTTCTGTTGTTACTCTTTACTTCATTATTTTTTTTCCTTCATCCCTGACAGAGAATTGACATGGTGCCGGACCTGCTCAGTTCCAACTTATGTTCCCTCCGATGTGATGTCTTCAGGTTTGTTTTAGCACTTCACGTATGTTTGGTGCTTCTCAATTAATAGGGTATGGCCTTGTTACTATAAAAATGTTCAAGTGAAACAATACATTTTTCAACTTTCTAATTTTTTTTGTTTTGCATTCTCATCGTAATATTATTATTACTTTGTCTTCTGTTGACGGAGTCGGCTTTCTCCTTTTTCACGATCTGTTGTTGGGATTACATTGTTAGAGTGTGATATGCTGTGATATATTGAAAATTTGTTTGACTTTGTAGTGATTTTATATTTATTTGTGTTAATATTGTTTTGTTATTATATATGAGATTTTGCCAATGGGTGAGTCCCTAAAATATAGCACAGAGGGTTGATTATAAAGTTTTTAATATTTCGTTTTTACTTGAATTTTTCTATTCATGTATATCTCCTCCAACAAAAACATGTATTTACAGACCTTCAGACATGCATGCTAAGTTGTGTAACTGGCGTTACGTAACGTCAAGTCAAATTCTTTCGGACATAACGATGATGACACATTTGTAAAGAATTTGTGCATACAAAATTATTTTAAGTTTTCTTGTTTCTTTAATTTTCAAACATAAGCATGAAGAGCGTATGAAATGGTGAGAATCACAGAAACAAGAAATTCTGAATGCCGTTTAGTTTGCATTTGTGTCATCATAGTTTTGTCTGAAAGAAATGAAAAACTTACCGTTTTCATATCTTAATTTCTTTTATGAAAATTTGGGCAAACAACGATTCAGAAGATTCAGTTTGACACACAATGCATGTTAATGATGAAAAAATGCCACTTAATTCACATTTTACTATGAATCTCTGCAAAAGATCTAATATCTTTTGAACATAACCATGATGACACAAAATGAAAAATACCTGAAAAGTAATTTACGGAACATAAAATTATTTTAATAGTTTTCTAATTGCTTTAATTTTCAAACATTGAGAGCATATGAAATAACAGAAAAAAGAAATTCTGAATGTCTTTGTGTTTGCATTTGGGTCATCATAGTTATGTCCGAAAGAAATGAAAAACTTTCCATTTTCGTATTTTACTTCATTTTTTGGAAATTTTGGCAAACAACAGGTCAGGAGATTCTGTTTGATTCATAATTCATGCTAATTAAAAAAAAAATGCCACTTAATTATTTTACTTACTATGACTCTATGCAAAATACCAAATCTCTTTCGAATTTAATCGTGGGTGGTTGGCCGGTGCTCTGGTGTGGTTTGCTCTTTCTTTCCTGTCAAACATCTATCGTCCTGATCTCTCCCCCTTCTTTTTTGTGTTTGTTACTCGCTTGTAAAACCTCTAATCTTTGGCACTTATACGACCTTATTGTGTTGCAAGTGCCATAATACTCTTACTAAAAAAATTTTTTAATTCGATCATTATGTGGATAAATGTTTGTCGTCATTTTGGAACATATCAATTTACTTCAAATTTTCCTCTCCCGTTGACATCGAGCAAAGCACACGCGGTTACATCTAGATCTACCACTACCTGACCATTGGAACACAGTGCGATGTTAATCTTTACTTGTTTTAAATTTTCTAACATAACATGTTAAGATTTGATGACGACATAAGAAAACTTAATGGGTTCATCTCATCCATCATTATTCTTCTCGTCGTCTTATATCGCACAACAGTACTCTTTGAATGGATCGACACGAACAATGCACGTTCCTCCATCTCTATTATTTCTTGTTTTCTGATTGGTACTTTCGAACATAACAAATAATGACAGCACGAGACATCACAGCACAGGATTTGTTTTCAGCAAAATTATGTACGATCACAGCTTCGGAATCAGTCAGGCCAGAGAGTAAACATTGTACGATATTATGCTCGTTCCAGGGCCCCATTATGGCCGATAGAAACAAAGTTAATGGGAATCGAAGTTGCCTTGCGAAATGACTACCCGAGTTATGCTCGAAAATGAAAATCTAGAAGGCTCATAAACAAAAAACAGCTACAGTTATCATTATTCCTGATATAGCACCACAAATAATGTTGTTGTTGTAGTAGTAAAAGTGTAGAAGGACGAGTTTCTCAGCGATTATTTCATTATTGAATTTGACGACAAAAAAAGTACGAACTCGACGCATTGTGTTTTGCATTCTAAAAATACATCGATTTCAGAACTAAAAATATTTGTAAGATTTCTTCAGATGGCCCGACTTCTATTTCTCTGCTCCCATAGCTGAAACATCATATTAAGCACAACGCATACAATTTTCAAAGCTGTAGCACCATTTTTGGGGGGAATAGGAAAGGATTTTGTAACATATATGAAGAAACCCCCACCTATTGGCAAAGGTTCATATATATAGTTGTTGTCAATATGAGTAGTATGTTCTGTGACAGTATCAACTACTGAGGTTTATAAATGCTAAATTTTAAAGTTATTTTTGTACCCTTTTCAAAAATATTTCTCTCCAGATTTGCTTTCTCAGTCATATGGGAGATGACAAAAGATGCTGATATTGTCAAGACAGATTTTACCAAGAGCATTATACTCTCCAAGGTATGCAATGGGTTTTAAAAAAGCTTTGCTTTTTCATACTATTTACAGGCACATATGTATAAACTGTTATTATGGATTGCACATTTGAAAAAGGGATGGAGTAGGGACTCTTGTACACTATTTTTTTTTTTTTACAATAAGACTTGAAAGTAACATTTTTTTTAACATGCTGTAACTGGATATTTTTAATATAAAATGCTCCTTTTGTTAAAGACACGGTTCGCAATTGCTGTCTTTTTTGACAAAGTTGTGTTTGAATATTGAGAAACTGAGTTCAGTCTGTCTTTTTGTGGTATGTTGGTATTGTTGGGGGTCAATGCTATATGGGGAAGGAAGAAGACTTTTAAACATGTTGTACTGAAATGCTCTGACTTTAAATCAAGTTTGTAGTTGGGGAAAAAACCCACGACAACCCTCAAATCATTCACAGGAAAGATTTTGGCCTCTAATAATTTCTATTTGTTTCAGGCTTTCCCAAAATTATTGTTTTCTACAAGTTCATAACTTCTGTTATTGCTGTGGAATTATTTTTTGTAGTTTTACTTCTTTTGTTTGAAGTTGATAAGTTCTATCTTGTACAAGAGATGGGAAGCTGTTGTCTTGAATAATTCAAACATTGTTTTTTTTTGTCTCAGGCATCATTAACCTATGCTCAAGCTCAGATTAGAATTGATGACCAAAACGATCACGGCAACCTCACCAAAAGCTTGCGGGGCCTCAACTCACTGGCAAAGATTCTCAAGAAGAAGAGATTGGATAATGGGTACTTTTTCATTTTTCTGATATCACTTTAGCATATACAGTAATCTCTGCCTAAGATCCCACCGCTTACGACCCCGGTTCGCTTAAGATCCCGCCGTTTTAAGATAACAGAATTTTTGCTATATGAAAGTCATCCCTAAGATCCCGCTCTGATTCACTCTGAAAGTCTACATTCGGCTAAGCTCCCGCATTTCAGATCATAACTTGCGGATCAAAAACCCGGGCGGGACAGCTGATCAACCAAGAGTGGAAAGTTGACATCAATAAACTGTCCGTCGCGTCAAAGATCAGCCACTATCGTGAATGTGATCTCATACACGTTGTAAAACTCGATGGAGCGATACAATATTTGCCCCAGACGGGATCACACCGGGGTGTGAACTGACCGACACATTTGTTTTCCCCTCACATCACACTCACACCTGAGCTCTCCCCCTAAACTTACATCACTCGCTGGGTGGGTAGGGCCTACACATTCCCTCCAGGCAGGATCACATAGAACCGTGAACTCTTCCGTGACCATTGCAGCAGTTGTCTCTACTCCCGAATTTGCGAGACAGACTGAATTTTAATTGGTGCGTTCACAGCGTATTGGGGTGTAACGACAAAGACGGTCGGGGAGAGGGGGGCACGGTCAGAGATAGAAAGCTATAAATTTTTGACTGGTAAAGGGGAGGGGCAGCTGGATAAGCGTAGATCTTGAGACTCATGAAAGGATAATAAGTGAAAATGGCACGTCTCATGCCACTATGCACTGTGATAGGTCATCAAGGTTAACCACTCTTTGCTCGCCATATGCCATGAACCCACCAAGGGGGCACGTCAGCTCATTGTAAGTGGAGGGAGACCATTTTACCGATTGTGAGCCTTAACAGGGGTCACCATAGATTCTTCCCTGGGTTTGTCGGTTAAGATCCCGGTTCGCTCAAGATCCCGCTTTTCCTTGCTCCCGAGCACCGGGATCTTAGGCGGAGACTACTGTATTGCCAATTGCCATTTTTTTATGTGAGTATTTAAAGAAATTTCTGGCAGGTTGTTGGAAGATGCCTGTGGTAGGTTCTGCTTGTGATAATTTTTTTTTCCCAACTCTGAATGACTGTGTGAGAGCTCTAATGTGGTTTGCTCCTTCTTTCGTATCAAACTTCTATGGTCCTTATCACTCCTTTTTTGTGTTTGTTACTCTTTTGTAACACCTGTAACCTTCGGCACTTACATGACTTCATTGCATTGCAGGTGCCGTAATAGACATGCCAAACAAATAACTGCGGTGCTGTTGATGTGCTTCTCTTTTACTTTTACCAAGAAAATTCTGTGTTACATGCATTTCATTTCTAAGAACTGTAATGAAAAAACAAATCTTGTGATGTACATAGGTTTTTTTTTTTGCTATTCTTTGTTGGATCCAAATCTTTCACATAAAATTCTTCTAAGTCTCCTTGAATGCAAATGTGTATGAACATATTATGTTCAAATTCAGATTTTCTGTGTGTCTCACATGATCTGTGAACATGTTGAGCAAGACTGTCCAACAAGTGAGTGTATAGTGAAGTCTGGTTGAATCCACCCTCTGCTATACCTGTGTCCGTTCTTTGTGTTTTTAGTTTTATACTCTAGCCTCAATCATTGTAGATTGTAATGTGGGTCTTTTGTGTCTGCTATATTGAAAGAAAGGGTAAGTCTGGAATCAATTGATGGATTTTTGTTATTTAATAGTGGCGAACAATAACTCTTCCCTTTGCAGCCTGTTTGATCTAGTAGATTTTTAGTAATAAAGAGATGTTTCAGTAATGCAGTGTTCTTGTTTTTCAGTGCTCTGAGCCTGGCTTCTACAGAAGTGAGATTCCATGTGGATAGTGAAACACACGATCCGATTGATGTACAGACCAAGGAGTTGAGGTTAGACGAAGGGTTAATGTTTTCATGTAGATTGTGCTTGCACACATAACCTACATGTGTTTATGAACGATATGAGCAGTCTCTTCCTATAGAAGGTTGAATATGATTTGTGGTGTTTTCTTCTGTACATCTTCCTGATATTGTTTTGGTCTATATTATTTATTTTCTGTACTCCATGTGACCATCTCTAGCACGGTTCTTTTCCACACTGTATTTCAAATGTTCCTCTACATTTAGATAAGACCAAGAATGGACAGCGATGAAAGAATTGAAGAGAATTGAGAGGAGGTTATAATTTAATCTGTTGTAGCTTTTTAGAGGGCCTTATTGAAGTTTAAATGGGAGCACAAAATGGCTGTCATAGACTGCTGAGTCTCGAGACTGTTGGAAGACAAAAAAAATATTTGTAATGGAAATGAGGGAAGTCTTTCCATTTAGATAAAATTGTTGTGACATGCTGACATTCTGGCATTTTTTTCTTCTTTGTGAAAATAGTTTTCATGATCAGCCTTGGTTTTTTTCCTCCTATGTTTTTCTTGGACAGTATTTTACCCCTTTTTTTTGTTGTTGTTGTCTCCTTTCAGAGAAACAAACTCAATGGTTGAGGAGTTCATGTTGTTGGCCAACGTTGCCGTGGCTGAGAAAATTCTCCATGAGTTCCCTGACAACGCTCTGCTCCGACGTCATCCATCTCCTCCATCCTCCAACTTTGGCCCGGTCATCAAAGCAGCAGAGTCAAAGGTTATTATTATAAGTTTGTTATTGGTGAAGATTGTCAGAGGGAGCCACTTGTAGTTACAGCTTTTTACTTGTCTGTTATCATGGTCTGTGGCTAACTGGGAATGGGAAAACAAGATAACATTGTTGTGCTGGCGCATTTCTCTAAACTTCAAATACAGAGGATTGGTGTTTGCATGACTCTTATACAGTCAAAGATGTGAATGATGCAATGAGGGGACAAAACATTGAAATAAAATAAGATTTTTGTCTAATTTGTCAAAGTAATTGCAGTCTCATTTTTGTTGTTTGCAAGGTGGGTTTGAATTTTGTATAGTATGAAGTATAATAAAGTATAATGCTGAATTTCTCTACATTCTCTGTAGCCTACCGCATTTTTAAAAAAGTTTTATTTACCTGTCTGCTTTCACTAGGGAAACAAAGCTTGAGAAAAAGTTCACCTGTCCCTCACCGACCATTGTAGTGCTTTTGGTGATGAATTTTATCTGCGACAATGAAAGTTGAGGATAGGACACAAATGGGTTTCTTGTCCTTAATGGACTTTTTTTTCTCTGAGTTCTGGCCTGATGCGGGATTGAATGCTTCTTGGTAATGGTCAACACCATGTCTAACAGAGTGAAAATCTTTTCTCATCATTCTAGAATTTTCCTCTTTTAGCATTGGTTGGTAAAAGGCTAAAGATAAATAAATCTTAAATGCCCAGTCAACTCCTTATATATGTCACACTTCTTGACAGATTTCTTACTTTCTCTGTTTTACAGGGTTTTGAGATTGATGTCAGTTCTGGCAAAGCTCTCGCTGACAGCCTGGACAAAGCTGTGGTGCCGGAGAACCCATACTTCAACATCATGTTGCGTATTATGACCACACGCTGTATGATGCAGGCTGTCTACTTCTGTAGCGGCATGTTGCAGCCCTCGGACTACATGCATTACGGCCTGGCCGCTCCTGTCTACACACACTTCACCTCACCGATCAGACGGTTAGTGTATTCTCAGGGTCGTGTTTACTTCTAGTTTGCTGACATGGTAATAGCAGCATTTTATTGTTGTATTACAGAATTGATAGAATTGATGCTGTTATAGAACTACTTAAATTGTATAATTATTTGTTTTTCCTACTTAGGATTATTCTTTGAATTTCTGTTGGAATATTAAGTGAACAAAAAGCAAATGAGTCATGTTCTGCAAGAATTAAAAAAATCAGTTGGATTATCTATGTTGTTTCTTTTGTGAAGAGTTAATTCAATAACAATTGGAGAACTGAGTGAATAGATATTTTGGGCACTTGTTTATTTGAACTGCTGTTGAGGCGAACTGATCATCAATAAAAGAAGCATGTGATATGGTTTGAGGAAATACAAGGTACTTAGTATATGCTATATACTTGGAAACTCGCAGAAAATGCAATAATGTTTAAAAAATGAGGAATAGTTCATTTTATTTTGTGTCATTTATCTTTATACTCATCATAGCCATCATTTTTGGACAGTGCAAAATGTACTGTATTTAATTTCCTTTTTTTTCCTCCAATTGCTGTCTCACAAGATCACACAAAACGAATGTTACGATTTTCCAGGTACTCTGACATCATTGCCCATCGTTTGTTAGCCGTGAGTATAGGGGCAGATTCATCCTACCAAGACCTCCTCGACAAGTCCAAAATTCAAGTGAGTGTTCTGACCTCTCTGCAGCTTTTGCTATGACAGTAAATCTTATGTAGGTTATGACTGAGTCATGGAAAGTGGCACTGCAAGTTTTGTGAAAAATTTGAACAATATTATGGTAGTAAGTGTCTTTTTGTATCATTTTTGCTTTGTGATTGTGTCAAAAAGTTAAACTTCTAATTTTAAATGGTTGTAAGAGTTCTGTCCACATATAGATATAGTATGATGTGCCTGTTGAAGGAACGCTTCCAGTGGAAAGAAAATGACCTCAGTGTTCTTATATATGTTGTAGTCTTGTTCTTCTGTACATTATGATGAATAATTGCATGTGACATTCAACTGTTTATATTACAATCTTTTTAGCTGTCTCTTTGTGTTTATTCTGTTCTATGAAATACTTGTAAATTGTAACAAGGGAAGAGTCTTGTGTTATGTTTCGAAGGGTCAATGTTAAACTTGTGACTGATCTGCATTTCAGAAAGTGTGTAACAACCTGAACTTCAGACACAAGATGGCACAGTATGCGGGTAGAGCTTCTGTCAACCTCCACACACACGTGAGTTTAGCTTTTCTTTCGTCTAGGTTGTTGCACTGTGTTTAAAATTAACTTTCTATAAGATAGCGTAGTTTGTTGCTCATATTTCTCCTCCAACCTCTCTCCCATTACTTGGACAATCATCCTGGGAACTTACTGTTTTGTTGAAGAGCATATTATTTTGCGTACATGGTTTCATCATCTACTTTTTATCGATTTAAATTGAATGAAATCTTAATGTTCCTTTGCCATTCTTTGCTCACGTAGTTTTCTTTTCTGTTCTGGTTTTTTTGGCCTCTATGCTCAAGTGAAATATAGCCTACTGCCTTCCATAATTTGAGAAATGGAACATCCTGAATGGGCTTTAAAAAAAAGTTAAGTCAAAGATTTAAAAAAAGAACTTTTAGTATGATATATGGCTCAGTTGACAAGTGTTTGACAACAGTAAATGCTACCGGGGCTCAAGCCCTTTTAAATGTATTTCTGGATGGACAGGTTTAGAGTATGTTAACACAACTCATTTGCCCATTCTTTCGAAGATAGATTTTCCAGTCAGCAGGTCTTCCCCCTCCTTTAAAAACCCACTCAGTGGTGAAAGGAGTTTAAAAGTTTAAACGGAGATGAGTTAACGAAATTTTCTTTTGATGTTTTTCAGCTGTTTTTCAAGAAACGGATCCAGGATGAAGAAGGTTACGTCCTGTTTGTGCGCAAGAATGCACTGCAGGTTCTCATCCCCAAGTACGGTCTGGAAGGCACCGTTTTCCTCAATGATGAAAACAAGAAGTCCTCAAGCATTTTTGTTTACAATGAAGAGGTAACAGATTCAGAATGCTTGCCAGGGGAAATGATATCTCTATTTGTCGATAAGAGCTTGCAATTTTTGTTGTTATGAGAGCTGAATTCAGGAGTTTGCTTGTTTAATTCTAAAGAACAATGTTAAATTGTGTGTTTATTGCTACCCAAAGGTGCTCACTTAGTGTAAATGTTTTGATGGTGATAATATTGAAAGATATAAGAATTTTTTTTTTTAACTCATGTCTTCTGTGACATTTTTACTCTGAACAGTTTCACAAGTAACAGTTTGTCTCATGTTCTTATTTGTTTTAAGAAACAAATTCATTTTAAGGGCATTAGTATATAGAAGAGTGAAGAATTAGAGATGCTCATGTTTGTAATGGCTTAAAAAATAGGTGGCATATTTACAATAAGTTTTGTACTCAGCAACATAATTTCCCTTTTCTTTTGTATGAATAATAAAGTTACAAAAGTAGGTGAAATTGCCTTGACTCTGAAGAGTAAGGTCACTCGAGAGGAGTACGGCTTGACTTAATTAAGGGCGCGGCTGTTTAAAAATTTGAAAAGGAAGCTCCAGGTCCAAATGTTTGTGATTTCTAAAGTATAAACTCAACATCTTCACATTTTAAGTGAGACTATTGAACTTTTGTTGAATAAAAATCCATGCCAGACAGAATGAGTGTTGTATATGGTGGAAACAATTTGCAATGATTGCACAGAGGCTACTGACATTATAAAATATATTTGGCCTTTGGTTGTCCTTTGTGGCTTGTACTAAAAAATGGAGGTGTTCTTTAATCTTTTAGTCCTTATCTTATTTATCTTGTTAGAAAATTTGAATTAGTTATTTAACAGTGCAATAAATATCCTTTTCTTTTGTCGTCTTTCCCAGGAGAGCACTCAGACTGCAGGGGATGTAATCTTCCACGTCTTTGATCCTGTCATTGTTCAGCTCAGTATCGACCGGTCAAACGTCCAGCACATGAAGTTGTCACTGAAACTTGTTAAGCCCCAGGTAATGTTTTGTGATTCAAAACAAGCCCACCTCATTTATTTTGTTCTTTCCATTGCAATAATAACCATACTGTTTGTCATTAGGTAAGAGATCTGCAGGGGCTCTGTGGCCTAGAAGTTAAGGTTTTCCCCTCTCATTCAAAGGTCCTAGGTTCGAATCAGGGTAACGACCGAAAAACATTCATCTCTAAATTGTCTCCTTTCACTTTTTTCCCTTCTCTCTTGAATTATTCTGACATCTGCTTTTGTCTCCACTTTATTCCCCCACCCCATCACCTCCTTTGCCCCTCTACTGGGCTCCTGATTCTTTCTGCAACCTTTCTACTGCTATTACTTAGCTCCTTCTTACTGTTGTCTTTGAACCACACCCCTGATCTTCTGGTAGGAAAGATCTACTCCTTGCCTTCTGGGACAAGGGCGAAAAATCTCGGAGGTCCCTTGTGCATGTTGCGCTAGTTAAAGATACTTTGGTGGTCTAAAATTGATAAGAGTAGGCTTCGGCTGCCACCCAGGAGAAATAAAAAATTTCCTACCAATTGAAAATGTTTGGTGTGTCCCGGACGCTCATATGGCCTAATGCAGTTGCGAGCACCGTTAAACACTTACCTAAAAAAAAAAGAAGAAATAAAAAAGATCTGCACTCTCTAGGTTCAGGCTCGATTCTGAGAGAAAAAAAAGTACAAGAATTCGGTGGGAAAAGGGTTAGGTTCAAACCCACATAATTTGCTCTGGAATCGCTGGATAGAGATACAAAAAATTTAGTAGAAACCAAGTCATGCTGAAGCAAAAGTCTTGCTGATAATGTCACTTGTGTGAGGTTTCTTGGGAAGACGTACACTCCCAGAAAAATTTTCTAAACGATTTATGACTTTTATTCACTTTCAATTAATTGTGAAAGAAGTTTATAGGTAAATAGGATGTACTAAGGGTGAATTTGTTGGGTTTTTTTTTCTGAAAAATGGGTCTCTGTGCTCTGTGGTGGCCTTCTTGGATTTTCAAACCTGTTTCTTAGTGCGGAAGAATTTCATACAAAATATTAAAACTACAGCTTGGCAAACATATATGGACTGTGGATCTATGTGAGGATTTTGACCTATCTTTAAAAATAAAAAAGTGAGCCCAAAGTCAGTGGACCCCAGAGAGTCTGTTGAAGAAACTTTGGGGTATAATGTTCCAAAGAATTTGAATATTTCCACATGTCCCAATTTCCTCACACAGATACCCAGAATAGATCTTAAAGTACTTGTATGCCAAATTTGAAGCTTCTAGCTTCAGTAGTTTTTGATAACGCCTTGCACCAAGGAGGTCACATATAAGCCAAAAAGCAGATTTTGAGAAAAACAGGAAAAACATTAATTTTTTAAAGGATTTTTATTTCAATATTATGCACATTTCAAATGCCCTTTTAGGTCATTTAGGTGTTTTTTTTCAACAGTTTCGTCTTTGTGACCCAATAGAACGGATGTCAAAGGATGTTTTCCCGCAAAAATTTAAAAAATCAATATTTTGAAAAATTGTTATTGTTATTTTCTGGGATCGCCGACCCAGGTTTTCCCTTAAAATTAGTAGTAGGAAAATCCCTCTTTTTTGCATGACAATAGCTGGCGATTTAGGCGGGATTAAGTTTAGGGAAAGTTTTAAGAATTAGGATATAATGGCTTTGGTGTTTGAGTGGTTAGACTACACGACTCGTGAACAAGTGGTCATGGATTCTTTGTGGCTCTCAAGAGCATTGTCTCCTTGGGAAAGATATAGTTTCCCCTCTGCACAGTTGAAAGAATATGAAACCAATATTATAAGTGTGAAAAATAAAAATCCCTTGACAACTTTTCTTCAAGCTGGGGTGGGGGGGGGGGGGGCGGCGGCAGACAGCCACTGGCTCTTATTTGTTTTGTTGAATGAAGAGGAGTGCATTGACACAATGAAGGTCATTTAATGAATAATGCCGGTGTTTTTTATGCCCCCATCAACACAATTTCGATCATTTAGGAGGCGGGCTTCCTGACTCAGAATGAGAGGGATATAATGTCATAGCAGAAAGATCAAGGTACTCAATGAACCTTTGCCCCACATAGGAATCAAACTCAGGTCTTCTGTGTGCTGCAGTGAAGCACCTAACCCCTACACTATAGTCCCAAGGCACTGGTATGGTCATTTAGTTCAGGAAAAAAAGCAGGAAAGAAAGAGAAATAACAAGGGGAAAGAAAAGAAATTGGACCTGTCTGTCGCACCCTCCGATCACCTGATAGCAACAACATTAGTAACATCCCCAACTTTCCTGTCCCTCCCCCCTCAGGTCCCAGGATTCAGTGTGCCATCTGCCAGCGAGTCCAGCGAACAGCAAGAGATGGACACGTCATCAGGCACCTCCCTCTCATCAAAATCGAACGCAGATGTCGGAAAACCTCCTCAGAAGAAAAAGAAGAAGCGATAAGGCTTCAATCCTGGCAGCTTTTGTAAATAATTTCTGTGGCTCTTAATGATGTATTTTAATACTTTCATGTATAATGAAGAAATGACTTGAAAAGGGGAACCTTACACTTTTACCTAGATTTGGTGCTTCAGTCAATGTACTGACCAGTTGGATAAATACTATTTTAGAGATATGACACATTGCTGGTTTAACACCTAGTTTTAAATACATGATGTAAATGTTTGTGCATGAAAAGAGTTAAAAAAGCCTACATCATTAACAACACTGACTTGTTGATGTAATTTCTTGCATACTTTGCTTTTGTTTTTAAAGAGGAGGCTGACACTGGCAATACGATCTTAGATCAAGGAATCAATTAGTTTGAAGTAGACTTATGCTGAAGAGGATAACCTGTGGAACTCGCATTTAACTGCCTGAAAATTATGTTTTGTTTTGGTCTATATAGTATTTTGTGTTCTTTTGGCAAGGGGCATCTCTCTTAAGTAATGTTGAGAGCTGCCTTTTGAAAATGAACACAGATCTTGTTGAATTATTTTTACATGCCTTTACAACGCATATATTCGTATATGTAATGTCTTGCTTGAAAATAAAGCGTCAAAACACATGGTACAGATTTATGTGTTTTATTACATTTTTGCCTGTACAATTTAATATGTTAGAAAAATACAATGATGATCACTAACATCTGCTGTGTGGAAATATTTCTCACTCAACTCTGTTCAAATTTTTCAGAGTTAAGGTGGGAGAATTTCCACTAAGCTTTCTGCATAATCAAGAAATGATATAATTCTTCCCTCAACAACAAAAGGTTAACAATATTGCAAAGCCTTAACATTTATGTCAACACCTGCACACACAGACAAATGCACACACATGTAAATATGATTCAGCACAGCTCTGAATCTATTCTGTACAGAAAGAAATTAAACACAGGGGCTCATAGTTGCTTTGTCATGAAAGGAAAGAGATGATCAGGCTTGACTGGTGTCCGGTAAATTGTACAGTGGAACTCTGATTCAACGAGCTCGGGTTCAACGGATTCCCCGTTTTTCTTCTTCTTTAAAATCAATAAAAATAACCCGGATTCAATGAGCACTTAAATCAGCGAGCTCGGATTCAACGAGGTCGCTTCCAGGGTGAACAGCCCCCCGCAAACGTGGCTTTGCTCATTTTTCTCCCACAACGAACTTTATAGATTCCCGGAAACCATCCATTGCACCTACATCGTGAACCTTATTCACTTAGCCGATTGCATGCGACCAATCAGCGGCCTTTTTTCATAACAACACATGCATTGTTGGCTCGCACACGTGTCTATTTTAGCGTGTGTCGGGGTCGGATGGGCGGCCTGCACACGAGTGGCTGTGTGTGCGTGTCGGGGGGGGGGGGGGGGGGGAGCGATCCGGGCGTTGAATGAATGTCACAGATACAAACGCGTCACAGTCTTGTTTTCTCCCCCCTCCGGCAACTGATCATTATTACAATGATAAGCTGGTCTTGACGTAGATCTACACAATGAATTGCGCGCTGGTCTATGGAATCAAAAGTTGCCGTGAGCTAGTCTGTACACAGCAACACAACTTTTTGGGAAACAATCTCGGATTCAACGAGATTTTAGGTCAGGCCCGGCGACCTCGTTGAATCCGAGTTCCACTGTATTACTATTTCATGCTTCATGTTATTTAATGAGCAGGAAATGTCTTTGATCCCACTGTGGTACAAATTACTGGATTATTTAATTTACAACTTTACTCATTAAGTTCAAAGAAGAGATGCCAAAATCTGAAAAAAATCTTGTAAGCTCTAGAATAAAATATAATATATGATTGTAAGAAAAGTGAACAAGAAATACTGTTGTAAAAATACACATTCAAATAGAATATGAGACAGAAGGATTGAGCAAATACTCAAAGAAGCACTCAGAGTTTCATCATTGTAATATTTTAAGTTCAGATTCTAAAAAAAAAATATTAAGGGGGCGGTCGGGTGGGACTGAAAATTGGGTCAAAATGTCGTTTTTGAGGTTTTTGCTTAAGTGAATACCAGAATCAGAGAATGTATCTAGATATCAAATCCAGTACAGTCCATGCCGGCTTTAAGCACGGTCATCGGGAGAAAGCTTAAGCGTGCTTAATGCCGAAGCGTGCTTGAGTGCAAAGTAGATATCATCCAGAGATTTTCAGGTAAAAAATTTCCCGTGCTATTTCCCTTAGTTGTAAGTTGGCCTATAGCGGTTGCCCGCCATGGTAGTTTTTGTTTGCTTGTTTGTTTTTGTTTTGTGGTCGAATAGGAAATGAAAACTTAATTTAGGCGGCCAGTCACGATACAGCACACTGGGCCTACACACTGCCTGTGCGTATCACTGCCCGCGGTGCCACATTCATACCACCGTCTTCATCCCAACTCGCGCGTGAAACACAATCAGGATTAATGGATAGCGATAATCAAAGGTGAAATTGCAGCCAGCCTCCCTTTCTCGTCTCCCCGACTCTTTGTTTCTTTTTTGTTGGTGTGTAGCTTTGCCCTAGGCTAGATCCTATGTCCATGCGCGCGGCTGTGTGCATCTGCCTTCCTCTTCGCGCGCGCGTGTGTGTCTCCATCACTTGCGTTCTTTGTGTTTCTCTTAACACACTCACTGCTGCGGTGTAGACTGTGTTTGAACTTCGACAGGTCATTCATTATAATGAAAGTATTGACTGTCTTGTAAATGAAGCGTGCCTGAAGCCGAAGTTACCGTGCTTAAAGGCATGTAATTTATATAGCAAAAATTCGGTAAGAGCCGTTTAGTGTGCTTGAGTCCGAAACGTGGTTAAAGCCGGCACGGACTGTATATGATTTTGCAGAGATAAGCATGCTGTATGTGAAATTGTGTTTCATAATGGCTACTAATAGTATCACAGTGGGTCATTTTTTACTTAAACGGCCATTTTCTCTCAACTGTTTTTCATGGAAAACATATCACGAAAATCCTAAAATCTCACTTACTTATTGCCCTAGAGACTTGAAATTTAGCACAGTGATAGCATATCCATATTTCTAGGGAACGAGCTAGTTATTTTTGTTTTTCTTTGTATATGTCAAGGGATTTTAGCATTTATATCAGGTTGGGGGTGTATTTTCAACACTTTTTTACATCATGAAATTCAAAGACATGCTACATCCTTGAAAACAACCAAATAAAAAAAAATATTCGCCCTATTACTTCAATATAGGTCCTGTCCATTCCTATCTTACAGATTAGAATATCTCGATTTGTGTTTGAGATTTTAGGAATTTAAGATTTGTGTTTATTTTCAAGATTGTCGCCGTCACCATGGCAATGGGTAATATATATCATGAATAATACCCCAAAGCATTTCGCACCTTGGCATTGAGTCTTACTATGCTACATTCATTTATTTAGGTCAGTGAATAAAAATCTTTTTTAGCTCACCCGACCTCCCCCTTAAAAAAGTACACCCCTTGCTATCTACCTTTGTGCTTCTCACATTTATAGATAGTAACTTGTTTCAAAATGTATGAACTGCATACAACTTTGTAAACCTTCTGTTGAAAAATTTCATCAACGATACATCTCTACTGTAGATACAACTCCCTAGGTCTAATGCCAGCTAATTGCCCATAAAAATTTACTGTAAATGATTTTATGAACGGTTTGATGTCTGGTAGCCATGTAACAGTTATCGTTGCTCAGACACCTCAGATTTAAGACAATGATTACATTGAAAAGAAAAAGAAGGAACTGACAACAAAGGAGCACCAACTAACCTTTAAGCTACAGGAGTAATACTGTGTCATCTGTCAATCGCACTGGACAATCATAACAAAATACTAAGATCCAATAAAACCATAGCCTATTCACAAATCTAACCCTATTTTCCGAACTAAATGTTTACCCTCCTACAAAGAGGCAATCAAAGGAATTCATAGATGAGGCAAACAAAGGCTGGCAAACAAATAAACTAAAGTGACTATATTATAACCAACTATCAATGACGGAGATGACATGTACTCAGGCCATACTCTCAACTTAAATGGAGATGCGTCTTGTGTTTGTTGTTAAGGTAAGTGTTTTATGACGCTCGCAACTGCATAATATAAGGTCATATGAGCGCGCAGGACACATTAAATATTTTCAGTTTTGGTAGGAATTTCTGTCTTGTATGAATAAATTTGTAAATAGTAAACACATATGAGGAATATGTAAAATAAAATGATAAAAATGATTACTAAAATAGGATAACTGGCCTTGGACATATTGTTATGTTTATCGCATTTCCTGAAAAGTATGTAGCCAAAGTTTTACACAAAGGCTTACTCGCATACGTATGCCCACAAGGCCAATCAGGCATAAATAAAGTTGACAGAAAATTCATCATCTGAGTGTAAAATAACAAAAAAGAAAAACCGAAAACATTATACGGCCTCTATTTTAAAACACAAGTCGTGTACATAGACATCATAAGATAAAAAAGTTGATAAACAGAAACAAAATCGGATATATTACAGGTGACGTAAAGAAGTAAAAAAAAATATGCTAAACCCCCTCTTAAACCCCACAGCTCTGTTACGAGAACAGCCCTGAATTCTTGGTAAAAGTAAAAGGGCATAGTTCCTCATAAAACTGGTTACTATTTAAAAATCAAACGTACAATTTTCAATTATGCATCTGGCGTCTCTAAACACCTGCCTGCCCCACCCCTCCAGGGCAGTGCTACTGACTGAAGTTGTCTTTAGACCGGAAGGGGGGGGGGATAATAATTAACATGTTTTTATACACAGTAGAATTGTAAATGGGCTGATTTATCAATGTTATGCTCATATACTGTTCCTGAACAACATGGGGGGCAGGGGGAACTGCTGCTTTTTCTTTTCCTCATCCTTACTATCGTCATTTTTTCCTCTACTTCTATTGTATGTTTGGCACTCTCTTGTAAACTGCTTTTTCCGGGGTGCCTCGATATTCGAAGCAGACTTTGTACTGTTGAGGCTAGAGAGGTGAGCAGAGGAAGCCTGATTCCCCGTTTGGACTTCTCTGTTGACATCCACCCCTTGGCGCTCAAATGACCTTATGCAGTTGTGAGCGCCGTAAATCTTACTAAAAGTAAATTAAAACACCTGCAATGTTTACCTTTGTCAGAGACCAGAAGCAACTGCAGGTGTTAAGGGTAATCCCTGTGTGCAGTTAACCTCTTGGCAAATTGGCTTATAATTTCGTTAAAAGGGTAAACCCTTCAGTCATTCTAAACACACAAATGTAGTTCACATACTGATACAGCCCAAGTTTTTTAGATGTATTTAAGTTGTCCACAGTACATGAAGAAGTGCTTTTAGGTAGTTACCAGTAATAGTAATACAAGGTGTTCACGACTGGAACTGAATGGATGAGTGAAAGTATGAGGAGACTGAAGTTTTAAAAAAATCTTCTTCCTCTTTCTTCACTATATTGAGCGAATGTTGTGCAAATCGTCGCCTCAGAATTATTTTGTCTAAAATGTACTTAAGTGAGGGAACCCTTTAAGTAAAGAGGCACTTTAGACCAATAGTTCTGAGGCGACGAAATGTCTTGAAAATATTGCAATAGATGAACAAAATAATTTTTAAACATGTATTAAAGTTGTACTGTTGTACAATATATGACAATAAAAGAGATAAAAACTAATATGAATATCCGAGATACAAAATAGGCAATACTCTAGAACAAAGTTTAATCTAAAAAGGAGAACAGAGAAAGATATGGGATCACATCAATGCAAACTTAAACATGTACACACACAGCAGATAACCCTAATCTGGGCTTAACCCTCACCGCTCACCTAACAGTAAGGGGCCGTTCACAATAATGACTTCAGCTCAAATTTGGCCAAAAATGACACCCCCTACACCCTTGTCATCTCCCAGTTGATGTCAACCAAAATGTGCATTTAGATAGAACTGGTACAGGATGCTTTTTAATTTACATATACATGTTAGTTCTTTATTTTAAAATAAAATCGAGCTTCCAGCAGTCTATGCTATGGGGAGATAACTGTTAATTTTAGTTTTTAGGCCAACAAAATAATATGGTCCAATCTAACTGCATTAATTTTAGGCCCCGAAAATGTGGCCAATAATATTTTTTCATCCTTTTTCTTTTTTCCCCTCAACCTTTTAGAGCATCATCATGGTTGACGTCAACTTTGTAAGGACACCCCCCCCCCCCCCCCCTCATCAACTTTTGTCAAATTTTCACTGACCCCCCTTCTGAGCTGAACGGTCATTACCATGCTCCTTATTCTCACACTGAAAGTTCTACTACACACAGTATCACATGTGTCAGATGTTCTGTTTTTAATTTTGAAACAGACAAAACTTCTCCAATAGATCATGCATTTCATAATTTTAGAAAGAGTTGCTATTTTAGGATTGCTCCTACTTCATTAGTTGAGATAAATCTAAAAGAGTATCTCGACTACTTAGCTCTTAAGAGGTCCCTGACAATAGAAATGTTGTAAAATTGATACTTTTAAAACGGGTGTAACTTGTACAGTTAATCACTTCTTATCATTCAAAAATATTCATTTTCCCCAATACCACTAAATAAAGATATTTGATGCAAATGTAAAGTTTACCAAAAAAAAACTGAGTAGAAAATCATTTACCCAACACGAGGGCATCATTAATACTGTTCACTCTCACTTAGGGGAGGAATTCCTCCGCACAGTCAAACAGACGTAAATATTGTTGGAAGTATCCTGCTTCACAAGTGTCTAAAAATTAAATGAGGATCTATTTTTACTTGGTATTCTTTCTTGAAATCAGATCAGCAGACTTAAAATCTCTAGTATGTCCTCTAAGCTGTCATCATAACTACATTTGGTAGATTTTTATGCCCCATGTATTATATTATAGCAATCATTTAACCCCCCTCCAACAAAAATACAATTGTTACATTCAAGAAGAATTACAGATTTTATACTTGTGGCTTACATCATGTCATAATACTGCAGTCATAGACAGTAGAAGAAAGCTAATCTTTTCAGGATTTGCTTCTAAGTCATTGTATGCCAACATACAAATTTGTGAGCAAAATTCTCTTGATCTATTTTGGAAAAAGTTAACTGAATACAATTACAGAAGTTCATTAAAAGTGGGTTTATTTGTTTGTTGTTATTTTTTTGTTCAATAATAGCATCATAAAAAATTCTACATGGACTGAGAGACTAAGATTATCCGTATATGAGGCGTGCCTTACTATCACTATCATATGAGAGCACGAGCACAAAAACGAACAAAAAAGCTCCACTGAGACTATAATCACAAGAGGAAACACCTCTCTTAAATGCATCATAGCTCTTCCAATACCATTTATTTGTCTGTGTGCTGTTGGGTCATAAGTTTTACTGTTGATAGTTTTAACCTCAGGTATGGCTTGAAAAGAAAAAAGAAACACAGCCTTTGAGAGACAAAATGTACACCTCTATTTTGAAAGACAGGCATTCAGAAATCAAAGTGAAAGTTATTGAAACAAATATTTTAGTTTAAAAATTCACTCTCCATCTATTTGCTACATGCTGTTCCTGTTTTTTAAACACCTATTGTCATCAGTTACAGTCACAGAACAAATAATTTAGTTACTCATAAAATTGTTATGGCCTCTTTCAAATTACAGAAGCAGAAAAATCAGTAGGACGACATTTGGCTACAGGGAATGAAAGATGTTAATGTAAAGCTGAAAGATAAAAGTGCAATCAATCAATCAAATATTTGTAAAAATTTGGAATGTCTCATTATTTAAATTACAGATGAATACACATCGTAAAAGACCAACAATAAAAAGAATGCTGGATAAATGGAATGATGTGATCTGCAGAAGGACGGACATGTTTTCGTTCAAGCGAAAGAATAAAATAAAAGTACAAAAACATCACACAGGGGCAACAGAGGTAGGCTATGAACATTACATAGTTCTATCAAGTTTGTCTCGTCATATCACTGTAAATCTGTCTATTATTCTCACATTGTAAAAGAAGAGGAAAAGGTTCAATTTATTTTTATACATTAACCCTATCCGTACACATCCTGGGGTCATTTTGTACCCACAGGGTTGTATTCTTCACATTTTAGAATACTTCTAGAGCGAAGATCTCTTTGAAACTTTCAGTATTTCTCAAAAAATCATTTTGACAGACTGCTATGCAAAGCGTATGGATCAGATTAACAAGTAAATTTCCTCTTTGGAAAGTGGTGGCACTGAGTTCCCCAAGTCGTATGGATACGAGAGTAAAACACGACGTACCGATAGGGTTAAAAAAAATTATTCCCATGAATATACTTCCCAATCCTTTGACAATATTGACATCTGTATATTCTATTAATGGAAAGGTTACAATAATTGTGCTATGATAGTATTGAGCTAAAGTACAGTGTTCAATAAGTCTAAATGTTTTTATAATAATTAAAAAACCCAAACCTACTGGCCATTTTCAAATGGTTGGTATGGTTATTATTCCATTTACTAATAGCTACTAACTACACTTCTTCCTATATATAAATCTTTGTAAGATTTCCGTCTAAATAATATAATACATCGTTCTCTCAAAACCATAAGTGTATATGTCAGGTCCATGAATTTACATCAATCCACCCTTTCCTTAGCTCTACAACTCATGTAACTGCCAGTCTTGGGAATTTATTAATACTCGCTATGAAGCTTCATAACATTATACTAAAACAGCAAGCCATAAAGATTTACAGCACAGTTACCTCCTTGCTCACACAGTCTTCATTCATATTTTGAGTCAGTGCGGCAAAAGCAACCATTAACTAAGAAAATGGCAACTTGACACACTTCGTTAAGGTTATGATTAGCTAAGCTTTGCTTGCTCTTCTAGAAACAACAGCTGGTCCACCATGAAGCAATCTGATGGGTTTTTCACGTATTTCCTCAGCCCATCCATAATCTCCTTCTCACTCTTCTCTTTCCCATCTTGAGAAGTCCGAGCCGAGCGCAGATAGTTGTACGCCTTCTGAAATTCCTCCTCTCCCATGATCTTGACACACTCTCTGAGGGGGTAAGAGAAGGAAAGCTGTTTGTTTCTTTTATATTCAATGTTGGGACCTTTAAAGGCTAAAGTGTTACAGATCTGTAAAATATCACAACACGGAACTAGCCAAAGAGAAAAAGCTGCTGGACCAATTCAATAATGGCAACATCAGAAAACATGATAAAAAGAGGCAACTTGACATAAGAACAGCGTGTCAATTGCATTGAAGGAAGTCTTCACCTTAAAGTGTTTATTTTAGTATAAGAAAATATATTTATATAATAATGTGCCCCTGATAAATTTAAAGACCTATAGGCGGTACACTGTACATGGCTCTGGAATGCATTCATGTTGAAAGACTACACAGAAAGTTATTACTGCAGCTCATTACTAGCTCATAGAGTAAAGTGGTCGTGAAAAAAAAAGATCTTGGGAGATCTTAGAACTCCAGAATGTCCTACTAGGGATTAACATCTGTGTGTATCGTAAAAATTTAGATGAGTTGTTAAAATGATTGTAAGGAACAACTCTATCTTCACCTCCAATATCCACAACTTACCCTTTAAGATTTTTTATTTTTGTCTCCCTGGCATGAGGCCCAAATGCTCCCAGCACCGAGTCATCACTCACTGTTGTCGACTCTGAGGACATGAAACATCATAAGAGTCATAGTTGAAAAGGAAGAGGGATACAAAGCAATACACAATACTTGTGACAGAAAAAAAAAATTACCTGGAAATTTGGTGGTTGCAAAGAGCATTCAACAAGATGACATCTCTTGAGTACACCACCAGATTTCTGTCACCATCTAAAAATAAAGCCTGCCAACTTAAAGACTCAAGAGAGTCTAAAACACATTGTAAAAAAGTGCACCACCTTAAAATCTTTACCTTAAAACTACATCATAATATATAGGCTTACTTTATAAAAATCTGAAAAAGCGACAGAAAACATACCCAACAAAAACACATTGAAGTTCCCATCCCATTATGCTTCGAACAAACTATCACAGGCTTCTAATGAATATCCCCTCTGTTCTTCTTTATTTTCCAAAGACTTAAAAAGTGGGGGGAAAAAGTCCTAAAAGTCCTCACCGGCTTCATCTTTGTCAAGAGCTCTCTCCAGATAATTGATAAAGTCCTCCTCCTCTTTCTGACCGGGGTCATCGACAAGAGTTCCCTCCGCCTCATCACTGTCGTTTGCACCACCTCCGACAACCACATCCGCATCGTCATCAAATTCATTGAACTGCTCATAAAAAGTGTTGGCAAGATCTGGGGTCTCAGGAATACCTATGGAAAATAAAAAAAAAAAAAAAAAAAAAAGAAATAAACAAATTGTGAGACTAATCACTATTTTCCTAAATAATTTGAAATTTGAATCATCTACTCATACTCATACTACATACTATAACATGCTATCTATCATTAGATGTCATCGTCCATACAATTCATTGGGTTTTTTTGCCCACTACCCTTTATAAAGGCAGTCAAAATTAATAGATGAGAGTATCAAGAGATGAGAGTTAAAATTGAAACAAAGTGCTGTTCATCTCTATCGTCCAAATAATCTGCATAGGTATGTACATCACTGAAAGTTTTTATAAACACTCAAACAACTGCATGTATGTGTGTGCGTGCATTTGAGAGCAAATGTAACACTAACAGGGATGAGAGAGAGGGAGAGTGAGAGAGACAGAGCGAAAGAAAGAAAGAGAGGAGAGAAAGAGAGAGAGAGGGGTGGGGGGGTGAGGTGAGAGAAGGATGGAGGGAGGGTGGGAGGAAGGGGCATGGAGAGAAAGAAAGAGACAGACAGACAGGGATAGAGAGAGAGAGAGAGACAAAGAGAGGAAGAACAGAGAGAGGAGAACACTTTCTTATCCTTACCATCCTTAAAATCCAGAGAAGAATGTTCCCTGTCATAAACCATAAGGTCTCTCATCGGAGTGATAGGTCGCTCATCGCCATGTGGAGGCTGAACAGTCATACTGAGTGAGTTCATTGACCTGTCGGTTAGTGTGCGAGGAGACTTTTGTGACTGTGACCGCTTCAGGTAATCACTGCCAACTGTGTTGCTCTTTGGTCCAGAGCGATCAGAATTTCTCCGATACATGGTTGAGTGTTTCACAGTCATCTCTTCTTCATCTGAACTGTCGTAACCATGGTAATGATGATCTGACCAATAAGGAGAAGAAAAAGAGGATGGTCTTCCTTATCAGTATTTTTCCGACTGATTTAGCTGGTAGAAGTACAAGATCAGAACAGACATACATGTCATCATTGCGCTAGCAAAATGGCCTAACTCAAGAATTGTGCCAAAATGCAGCTAACCTATTATTTCATTTCGTGGTACTTTTTCTATCTTTCGATAAAATCAAAACAAATATGCACTGGCAGTCACAAAGGAAACAAGCATGACAAGTTTTGCCATCATTAGACGATAAATTAATAACAGTCTAAATAAATCGTTTTCCGTCCCCTTAATCTCAAAAGTAGCGGTAACGACATGTGCCGTTTTGCTAGCGCAGTGACAACATACATATTTTATTGATTCTCTATGGGAAAATGTTTTTATGCTTTCAAATCCTTCTGCAACACAAAACATAAATACATACCAATATGGCAATACAAAAATACAAACATACACATAAGCACACATACATACACACACACACACAAAGGTTTAAGAACATCCATGTGAGAATTCAAAAAATGGTCATCAACATGAGCCCAGCATGCTATCAACTGAGCTCATCCACAGATAGCCCTTGGTTGGTTTGTAACGGGTACAGAACCAACTGCAGCAGGAGTAAATCTGTTCTCTATAGTTGATCTCAATGATATAAACACCTAGGTAACTGTTTTGGTAGCAATGACTGCAACAGTTCCTAAATAAAGGAGCAGAGTTTTTTATGCCTATTTTCTCTTAACCTATTATGTGAGGCAGCATGGTGAAATCAGACACTCGTCAAAATAACGAAATCAGAGAAATAATCATTTTTTTGCAGGTTTTCCATAAAAAAATTTTTTGTGTATTTTGGTGCAACACCTGTTATCTATTGAAAACACATTTCTGTGAAGATTCAATGAAAAAAGTTGATAAAAGGCACAAAAAATGTAAATTATTTGTTTCCAAGGTCTCTCAAGCTATGGATAACATCACACTTTCGCTGCCACTTTCTAGCTAAATTTATCTCTGAAATCAGGCGACCCCCACCTCCTTCAATAGCAAATATCTCAACTTCTATTTTAACTGATTCCGTCCATTCGGCCGCTGACAGCGGCTCTGAGTTTTTCCGCTGCGTCCATTCGGCCGCTGTGATCGGCTCAACGAAATCCGAAACAAAGGTGCACTTTTTAACATAGTTCCTACTTTTTAAGTTGTCGAAAGGAAGTAGAACTTGTAAACAAACCTGACCTCAATCTCTGAGCGCCAATATCGATCGAAACTCCGCGAAATTCTTGCAAAAATCGTTGTTTTGTTGTTGCGATGTAGGCTAGATCTAAGGGTAAACAACACAGAGCCTGGTATAATAAAAAGGCTCTTCAAAGAAAGATATTCAACTAAATTTGTGAAATTCTTGCATAAATGTGTGCTAGGGTGATATCGCTACAATGTTGTGTTGATTCCTATGAATTATAAGGACTTGTAGAGCTGAGAAAATGCGGTAAGTCGAAATTTTCTAAGAGCTGTTGCGCAATTTTTTTTCTTATTCGTTTTTGTCAGAAGGAAATTGTAATACAAACAGATTTTATTATAGGTCATTGTTATTGATATAAACAGATTTTTCTATTTATTCCTGTCAGTTTGGTATATGACAATACATATTAGAGTGACTTAGAGCTTCACAGTAATGCGTTAAATAGATGCACCCCAGGTCTAAAACTGAGCAGGGAAAAATAACTCTGTCCAGAGCCTGAAAAAATCATGGACGGAATCAGTTAAGATAGAAGGGTAATTTTCTCTATCACAAACAAGACAAAGGGACAAGCTTTATAATGGTATCAATAACTCCATGTACCCCAAAATTGATGAGTGCCTGCTTCCAACACGTCGTAACCAAATGTTTTTTCTCATCATACTTGGACCTCCAAACTATTGAGTCTAATTCTTAAAAAGTGAAAAATTGTAATACCAGGTACCAAATTTTACCACAGCCAGAAGAAACTTCAGTCTGTCTACAGTCACCAGTAGACAGGTTACAATAACACAAATGTTGCAACTGACATCCCCAAGGTATGTATCGTGAAGTAAAGTGACTTACAGTAGGCCTGGGCAATATTCGCTTTTCAAAAAACCGAATAACTAGGTACCTGTTTCTATAAAAATCCGAATAACCGAATAAATGAATCGTTTTTCGCGCGGGACGGTTGGGGGGGGCTTATTGTTGGATTTCACCGACGGTTCTTCCACTGCCCTTACTATATTTCCAAGCTATCACTTTAGCAGCCTCCCTTTTAAAACAGTTTTTTTCTTTGTTTTGATAATATGCGGTGTCGTGTTTCTGCTCCAACCAACTGATAAACTCCTTTCCAACAAAACTAGATCTACTATCAAAGCTATTTAACATAAAATCTGATTGCAGGAAATGGAATCTAGTAGTCATTTTATTTATAGTCTGAAGTGGCAAACGTGATCTATGAAGATGAAGAGGGGGGAAAATCACTTCTGGAAAATATTCTTTTGAGCACGAAACTGAATTTGGCACTGCTGTTCGTTGTGCATCGTGTAGTAGCGGACTGTCAAAGGGCAGTCTTGATAGGTCATCCCCCTCAGCACCGAGTGAACTAACTCCATTCCAAAACGATTCATTAGCTGACTCGGTTTCAAACCGATTCATTAGCTGACTCGGTTTGAAAACGATTCATTAGCTGACTCGGTTTCAAACCGATTCATTAGCTAACTCGGTTTCAAAACGATTCATTAGCTGACTCGGTTTCAAACCGATTCATTAGCTGACTCGGTTTGAAAACGATTCATTAGCTGACTCGGTTTCAAACCGATTCATTAGCTAACTCGGTTTCAAAACGATTCATTAGCTGACTCGGTTTCAAAACGATTCATTAGCTGACTCGGTTTGAAAACGATTCATTAGCTGACTCGGTTTGAAAACGATTCATTAGCTGACTCTGTTTGAAAACGAATAAAATTGAACTCGCTTTTGACGTCATAACCGTTTTGGTATACTTCTCCTTCTCGCCATAGATAAAACATGTTTCTGACTTACAAAACTGCCTTTCACACATCTATTGGCCAAAGTAGGAATAAGATATATTCATTTGTTGTAGTGATTTTTACCTCCGACTTTATCGGAAACTTTTGTTTGGCATAGATCTACTAAAAATTTGAATGTAAAACATGAAAAGTTTGGGGGCTGTTCTTCTTCCATAGTACATTAATTTCATTTCCAAACACTTAAAACTAATTGACAACGCTAGGTTATCTATTTTAATTGAAAAAAGGGAGAGGGGGAGAAAGAGAGGGGGGGGGGGGGGCACGGAGAAAGAAAGAGAGAAAAACAGAGAGGGAGAGAGAGAGAGAGAGAGAGAGGAGAGACGAGAGACAGAGAGACAGAGAGAGACAGAGAGAGAGAGAGAGAGAGAGAGAGAGAGAGAGAGAGGGGGGGGGGGCTTTGGTGACGTAAATCTGTAGGCTGACTTTACTAGGCAAAGGTCGACGGCCGATGCGAGCGGATGTGACGTTAGCCTACGTCATCGTACTCCCTTCCCTCCCCCTCCCCGCTCTGTTGTTTTTTGTAAAAATTTAAATCTAAGTCTTCATAACACCGAAGAGATTCAGTTTTAACTCTTTTGATGAGAAACATTGAGAGGGAGTTTGGTATAGTCAAAAATCATATTATCAGTAAGATAATAGGTCTACTGTTCATTAGGTTATTAAAGACCTTACGGAGGAAAGCAAGCTTATAGACGAACGCGGCTCTCTTAGGTCAACAATAACATTGAACAATGATAGAAAAACAACAACAATGGAAAGTTAAATTGGCTTTGATGGAGTGTTTTAGGGGTGGAAAAGGTGTGTGTGTGTGTGTGTGTGTGTGTGTGTGTGTGTGTGTGTGTGTGTGTGTGTGTGTGTGTGTGCATTTGTGTGTGTGTGTGTGTGTGTGTGTGTGTGTGTATGTGTATGTGTGTGTGTATTTGTGTGTGTGAGTGTGTGTATGTGTATGTGTGTGTGTGCATTTGTGTGTGTGTGTGTGTGTGTGTGTGTGTGTGTGTGTGTGTGTGTGTGTGTGTGTGGGTGTGTGTGTTTGGAGGGGGGGCTTAATGTTTGTTATAAAGAACCCTTTTTTAGACAAGAAAAATTGAAGTCATTGCACTGAGTTACAGGGGTTAATATCAATTACAATAGTCACCCCGCAACTCTGCTGCGTGTGACGTAGTCAGAGATCGCGGCTCAAAACAACAAGTCTTTCGGTCCTTTGAACTCTCGCTGTCACGGAAGTCTCTCCCCCCCCCCCCCCCCAAACCAGCTCCCCGCCCACCCCCTCCTTTTTCCTCCGTCCCACACCCTCTGTGCAACGCCAAGGGCACGTCACTCTTCCGCTTCTCAAAGCGAATCAATAGCAAAAAAAAACGAATCAGAAACTAGGTACCTAGTTTTTGGAAAAATTAACCGGAGACCTAGTTTTGGGCTCGTATTCGGTTATTCGAATAATTTATTCGGTTTCTGCCCAGGCCTAACTTACAGCTTAACAGGCTGGAAGAGGAGTGAGCCTGACACCTTGCTTCATAACACTTTCCTGATCCAGACACTCAAGAAAGTAATTTCATCTGTCATCCACAAAGATTTCATTCTTTGTGTCTCAGTCAATGATAAAACCTCAAGTTTCCTGATTTGTTTAATTTCGCCATTTGCTGCTTCAGTTTCGAGATCATCTCTAACTGCAGCTGAGTCAGCTGGCAAATTGTCCAGTCACAGGTTTGAAAGAAATGTTATTGTCCGTTCTGGAATATTTCTTCTCAGCTTGGAGTAAGGGACTTGAGTTTTCTCCTTTCAAATGACTGACATTTTTTAGCTCATGACTCCACTGCTGAATTTCAAAACAGAGCTTTAAAAAATATTGCTTGTCCTGTTTCTATGCCAAATCTACTTTCTGTATTCCTCCAATCAATGACATACAGTGCAGCCTCTCTGTAACAACATCCTTAGGACCAGATAAAAATGTCGTTATAGAGAGGCAACCAAAAATATTACTAATGATATCCAAGAAAAATCGAGACCTGGGCACCATGTCACTATACAGAGGATCTCGTTATATCAAAGGTCGTTATAGAGAAGCTGCACTGTATTATAACAATCACCTGGCAGTGTACCGTACTCCCTGGGAGAGAGGTGACCCAGCCGTGGATCTCTCACAGTGATGGCCTCCTTCAGCAGAGTTCCTTCCCCGTAGCCTCCTTTCCACGCTGGCAGCTGTCACAGAAAGAACAATCATAAACAAGCAGCAGTAGAAATACTGTTAAAATTAATTTGTCGAATGAAGCATCAAAAAAAGAATTTTTTTTCATTTTGAACAAACAAAAAGTTTGAATATATTCATTTTTGACAAACAATTTTTTTCAGAGTTATAAATGAATTCTTACAAAAAATACATTCATGTTTTCATAGGACCATATGTCCATTATTCAAGCCTTAGAAAAGTAACACTGTTGAGATCAGTTAAAGTTGTAACAGTAAAGTGAAAAATTTGCACCATCTGTCAATTTCTGAAAAAGGAATGTCATTCATACACTTTAAACAAGGGAAATAAATAAAAGATGAGACAAGACCATGTAACATTGGTTCAAGAATTGATAGTAATCCAATTTACTTGAACTGGCAAGCATTGACTTAGGTAGCCGAGGCAATCTTAGGTAGCCGAGGCAATCTAAGTAAAGGCTATTGACAAAACGTTCAACAGGACATACTGACCGTGGTTTTTTCAAAATTGGTTTTAATTTTTTCCCTCCGCTCAGTGTTCTCAACCAACTGGATCTTCGTGGCTTTCCTGTGAAAATGCAACAGTCCTTATGATTTGTATGGATAAAGGATCAAGCTGAAACTTCATGCTTTTCCATTCTTTTCATTTGTTCAGTATTAGCAAGACAATGCATGTATATGAAATATCTACATTTATAGTCATAATTCTACAAATTGAAGGTTGATATTTTTCGAAACGAAAGAGAATAGAGGCTCATTTGAAAAAGTAGTAGCTCATCATTAGCATTTAAGGAAACCGAAGTCACTACAAAACCAATGATAATTATAAATCCCCTAAGACCTTGGTACAAGATTGTCCATCAATACTGTTTTGTTCTAAAAAAAACCATATAAGTCATAGTACTATCAGTAAAAAAGAAAAAATCCAATTTTGAAAAAAAATGAGTTTAATGACCAGCTGTTAAGTACACTTAACCAGGTAAAAATTTCAAGTGGGTGATCATCGAGTGTGTCCTTGAGAAAACAGGGTGCTGCATTGTGACTACTAGCAATGCATTATTTGGTAATATTGCCAGTCTTCATAAGATAGTGAGTATTACTTCACCTATGAATTATTTCATTATAAATTGCATGAGCCGTTGCAACTCATTGTCCCCTTGGGGATGGATAGCAGTATTTTTTCATTTTCTTTCTGTTCTGAAAAGCCTGTAATTTAACACTCTTTACAGACTTTTGAAAAAAACACATTTACAAGAACACTAGAAAAAAGCATATTTCAAGCAAATTATGAGGGCATAGAACACCTCAATAGTCTCCGCATAAACGCACGGTGCTTGTGAGGGCTCCTTAGCATGTGTCTACAGGGAGTAAGCGTTTACATGAACCTTTGTAAAGGGAGGAAGGGCCGCAGTCATTTCATTGCCTTGATATTTTAGTGACCTCCCTGTGGGGTGGGGGTCACTTTGGGCCGATAATGTGACATCACGTGACTGTGAGGGATTCCCCAACTTCGGTTAAGAATACAAAGGCGCTGAATTGGGGGGAGAGAAAGACAGACTCAATGTAATGAATATGCACTGTAAAACGTCGGGAACAGACAACCTAAGAGGAAACTGTTGGAGATAGTCATAGTCATAGAGATGACAGCCCAGCCACATAGTGTTCCAAGCGACCACCCCCGACCGTAAGTTCATGGACGACATCAGAATCATAGGTCTCTATATTCAGAGAAACATTACTCTCGTGACTCATTGAACAAGTACGTTATAAGTTTTTCGAGCGCAGCTGATTAGGCATACTTGGCTAATCTTAAATCCTATAGAGGCCTGTCGAGCTTTTTACGGCATTCATGCGTGTTGCCCATCAGGCCTATGTCCAACTAAACATTACATGCAGTCACCCAAACACCAGTCAGAAACCTTCTCTCAAAGATGCATTTACAGTGACCAATCAAAAAACATTTCAGTCCCCCAATCCCCCCCCCCCCCTTAACATTTGACTGACCAGCCCTAGACCTATGTGTCTGGAGAAAGTTGGGTGTGAAAATACTGTCCATCACTCTCTTTGATTGGCTTGAGGGGCGTTCTCATCAAATATCCAGTTTTCTAGGCTTGTCTTATGCAAGCTGTGCAGATTGCAGTGTAAATTTCCCTTTGTCAAGCCTAACCTGTCGGTGCGTTTCACGGATCGGAGCATGCATTTAGAGGGAGAGACCATGCATTTGTACTCTAAATTATATAGTATAAAACCAGTCAGATGACGAAAGCGTTTGTTTGAGCAGAGCACGCTTTTGTATGGTGTGGGTTTAGGCGGAGGCTACTGTATATATATATATATATATATATATATATATATATATATATATACACGAGTCACAAAATATTTTTAATATAACGTATCCTCTCTGGAGGTTGAATCTTAAAGAATTTGGCCTGGGACTTGAAAACTAAGACATATATAGTATACTTTGTGACAAAGTGTACATATCACTCTGGTAAAACACAAAAGTAAAGTTTTACCCTGCTATGCAAGGATGAGAAAAATCTTACTTCAAATCCTGAGCTCTTTTGTCGGCTTCTTGCATCTTCTTCAGCCTCATCCTCTCTCTTGCAGTTAACTTTGGTGGTTTGGCAGCAGCCTGATAGCTGTGCTGGTCAGAGTCCTCTTCTTCACTTGATTTCTCAACGGTGCTTCGAAGGTCATCTAAGCGGGACTTCTCACGTCTGTCACAAAAAGTATTCGATTCTTCAGCAAGTCAAGATTATTAAAATACAACCTACAAAATCAGATTAATTGTGGAATGATGATTTGGTAATGATTGCTATCAATTTAGGGTTTATAATCAATTTCGAGTCCTACTCAAGAAGCAATTATATTTTATTTTCAAGTTGTTGTTTTTTAGTCTTTGTACAGACAATATATAATAATGGAGAGCGATTGAAGACTTATCTTGAACCTCCAAACTCTGCAATCTGCAAATTCTTATCAAGACCAGAAGGGTACAATTGTAACAATAATATGGGCTAAATACCCATTTTTGATACTGAAAGAATATTAAAGAAGTTGGACATTCAAATTGCACATCCACCTCTGACAGCACAGCATACAGAGCCTTGGAAACTCCCCAAGACAATCAACATAAATCCAAAGATGCAAATGTTGGGCAACTTATTCAAATATTTTTGTATGCAAGGTAGTCTTGCTTGACACCAACTGAGATAATGGCATGCCTGAAGACAGAAATGGCCCCTTTTAGTTAGAATAATAACATTGCAGCATCTAAATTTTCTATCAGCACAACTCAGAACAAATTATTTTGAGAGTAAACTTACAGCAGCACAGCCAGTTCACTTGCTTCTTTGTCAGCAGTTTCTGGGTTGATATTGTGCTTCGTTTTGTACTCATCAGTCAGGAGATCTTTCATTTTCTGTAAGAGAGAGGAGTTGTTGAGTTGGAGAGAGCATGAAGCAACATAGCAGCTACATTTCTCCAGGTTACATTGAGCATGCACATTTGGGTTCTTCAACAACGTTTGACGGCACGCTGTTTTAGGGCACTTTAGAAATAAAAGCGTAAAAATAGCATTCGTACGCATTTATCAACATTACTTTCCTGATTTGAAATTATAATGACACTGTCCAAGAGGACCACCTGTCTAAGATGTCCACTTTTCTCCTCAACAATGGGTGATCCTGTCGGTCAGTTTTGACTATACCTCTTATACAAAACAAATTTAAAAAACAACAAAACTAATTTAAAAAACAACAAAACAATCAAAACCAAGAAACAAAGACCAAATACTATGGTGCGTACACCTTAGTGTTTTAAGATCTGTTCCCATCCCATTATTCTAAAGATAAAGAGAAACAAAAAATGGCAGTTTAACTGATTCAGGCCGCATTTAATTTGACTCCTGACGCAAATAATTTGTGCCCGCTTCGTGACATCACAAGTAGTCTCACAAAAAATTAATATCGAAATATCTAAATTTGATAAAACCCTCTGTGTGTCATACAGAAATATTCAGAATACAAAATTCTATTCACTGAAACCAGAAAAACGGGTTGAAAAATAATAAGCAGTCAGCAAAAAAGACGGGGGGAAAGAGATGCCAAGAAAAGGGAGCAATAGATATAAGAAACATAGGAGACGGTCAGCCGCTGTGAGCGGTGTTGCGTGCTGAATCATTAAAAAACATAATGAGCAAATCAGTCTTATTCTACGCAAGTTACTTACAGCCATGTGGCGAGCCACGTGAGGAAATTTGGTGACTTCTGTCGCAGAGGGGCGCTTTTCTGGATCTTTGATGAGCATTCTAAATACAGGATCACAGAAAACAGAACTATCACATTCCATTTTACAAAAAGTTAAACCCAATAAAAAGAATAATATACTAACATATGTTCTGTTACAGTGCTATTTTCCTTTTTCTATTACTCTAATGACCTATTATTCTCTAGTAACAGACAATAAAGTTTGCACGAGTCTGTCCAACTTTTTAAAAATGTCCCATGATGATAGCACACTTGGCCAGCTAGGCAAATGTGAACAGGATGCTGTTAGTGCTAAATGCAAAGGAAGGATTGATGCCCTGCATTTTTCAGTATGATCTTGAGTTACTTGACGTGTTGCATATGAGCTATTATAGCTAAGTGTTTGTCTTTCGTCTTGAGACAGGTATTGAATTTTCATATTCCCTTAGCTGTGATCATCTATCATCTATCCCCAGATTTATTGGATTGTTTGCATATCAGAAGGTTATTAATTTTATGCACCTTTCATAATATCATGCACAACAATCTTCTTGACCACTGAAGAACAACTTACCGCTTAGTACTTATCTTTAAAAATGAGGAAACAATTACCAAAGCTGCTATTGACATACAATAATATACTATAAACAAATATGCATTGCCAATGCAGGTACAATGTGTGCGCATTGCAATTATGAAAGATGTCAGTGTTGTGGAGAGGAGAAATTATTACTCACTTTTTGAACACATCATCAATATCTTTGGAATACTTCTTTGGCAAATCAGGAGGCTCTTTTTCCACAATTTTGTACATGACTGCCATGAGGCCTTGCCCAATGAAGGCATGCTCCAAGGTGCATAACTCGTACATGATACATCCAATAGACCTGAAACAGATAGCGTAGGAACAATCAAAGAGAGTACATAGACTCATCTGAGCTGGCATCACTACCAACAAGCCTTTGATACTCTCATACCTTGGCTTGTTGAAAGGAAGTTGATAGTATGGTGTCTTGATTATGCTTTGCTGCAAACAGGTTTAAGACAATGATTACACTGAAAAGAAAAAGAAGGAACTGACAACAAAGGAGCACCAACTAACCTTTAAGCTAAAGGAGTAATACTGTGTCATTTGTCAATCGCACTGGACAATCATAACAAAATACTAAGATCCAATAAAACCATAGCCTATTCACAAATCTAACCCTATTTTCCGAACTAAATGTTTACCCTCCTACAAAGAGGCAATCAAAGGAATTCATAGATGAGGCAAACAAAGGCTGGCAAACAAATAAACTAAAGTGACTATATTATAACCAACTATCAATGACGGAGATGACATGTACTCAGGCCATACTCTCAACTTAAATGGAGATGCCACCTGATTAAGAAAGAAAAATCCAGAACTTTCCAATCTCATGGAAAGCAAATGCAAGGACTCAAAATTTGCGGATTGTATTGTATTACATCTTGTATTATGGAGTTAGGCAAAGTTCAGATCATTTTAGAAATCTGGTTATCTGGAAAATCAGCACCTCTGTTTGAATAAACTACCCCTTTATACCATTAAGAAAAATATACTTTTCAATTATTTCCTTTCAGAAAGAGTATCTTGAGACAAACCATTGGGAGGCACATACCAGACATCTGACTTTGAATTGTAGCCTTCATGTTTGAGCACCTCCGGGCTCATGTAGTACGGAGTCCCAGTAAAAGTAGAGGCCATGTCCATGGTGCCCATCAAGATGCGAGAGATACCAAAATCTCCAATCTTCATCATATTGTTCCGGATGAAGATATTCCTAGGCAACAAGGGATAGAATGAGTTTTTCAAATGAATACTTTAAAAGTGGAAAGGTAAAGTACTTGTCATTTAGTCAAGTGTTCACAGTTTCAAAAGCTTAAAATTGATTTCTTATTGGAGCTAAGTAAAATACAATTGAAGCTAAACTGAAATAAAAAACCTAATTATCAATAACATCTAGCTCATGTACTTTAACTCTTTACCTCCAAACAGGGTAAACCCACTATGCCTGGGCCCTCTTTCGGTACAAAATCTAAAATTGACATATAGGCCTACTACGTCACTAAATTGGTCATTAAATTAAATCAAGAGAACCTATTTCGATAGTTCTTCATCTAATGAATGAAATCCTTGTAAAGGAGACCGACACAGCGGTTCCAACCGTGAGCTGCTGGGAACAGCTTGCCGGAGGTAAAAAGTTAAATGCATCAGCATAAAAGTGTTCAAAATAACACTAAAGGCGAATACCGTATGATTTGTTCATGAAGTGACAACTATCAAACAGACATTTTCAACTCAAAATTTTGACTTTAAATGTGATCAGATGAATCCTTAAATTTGAAAGAACAGGTAAAGATAAGAAAGATTTACCTCGTCTTAAGATCCCTGTGGAGAACTCGTCGGCTGTGCATGTACTGAACCGCCAGGATGAGCTGTATGGTCCAATTGAGAACAGTTTTCTCATCAAAAGACTTTCCTTTCTTCTTGTACTCTGTTATTTTATGGTCCAGATCTCCACCCTATTACAACAGAAAGGAAACAATGAAGATCCATGTAGGAAAGAACTCAACAATTGCTTTTAAAAAATAAACCCAACCCCATGAAATAAATAGGCAATCACTTTTTTCCCAAAGTTCCCAACACTAAAACACTATAGACAGCGAAAGATCTTGTCAGTTTGTTAGTGCTTGAGCGTTTTATCAGCTGCTTGCACTGTATGCTTCCTGGGAAGCTGAGAATGTTTCGGAGTGTTCTATGGTCTGCTGGGGTAATAATATAGTGTAAAGCGCATAGAGCCTGCTGTTGAGCGGGGATATGCGCTATACAAATGCTATCTATTAAAAGCAAAGGCAATACTTAATTAAGAAGCACACTAAAAAAATCAACTATACAGACTGTCAGAGCATTCTTCTGAGGAATCAGTGAAGTGTAAATTTTCACACATATTACAGGTGATATAAATACTAAGATTATAATAAAAATAGCCTCCAAATTTGGCAAAGTGGAAGAGAAACCAATAAAACTACCCAAACAGCACAAGTTCAAGAATGATCAGTCACTGATTTATAAACCTGAGTCTTTCACACATTTGTAGTCCTGCAAAACATGATTAACTGGGCTGATGGTGCACCCAGACATAATTCTCAAGTCAGAAAAGCAACAAATTTTCAAAACCAAACCTACATATGAAGACCTGAGAACAACAACAATATTAAGTCACATTTCTTAAAAATGAGTTCTGCATATCATTCGAAAGCGACGACAAAGGGCTATCTATAAGTAGCACTGACGAAGCACTATTCTGTTCATACATCAAGCAATTCTTGTTCAATGATGCGAACCCTAAATGCAACAGCAGGTCAATTCCAGTAAAAAGTCTGTTTAAGCCCTCTAATCGGAACTTACTAGAATGTATTTCACGAATGAGGTATTTGCTCATTTCCACGAAATCATCTAAACATGACTTGACCTTGGTGTTGTTCTCAGGTCTTCATATATTGTGCACTTATAGTTATCGATATTCTTACACAAAACAAAAATGTGAGGCAGCGTGGTGGAATCAGGCTCTCGTCAAAATAATCAAAGTGAAGAAACTTGCATTTTTTCGCTAGTTTGTGAATTTTTATCAAATTTTTGTTTTTTGGCTCAACACCTTTCATGCCCTTTAAAGAACTCATTTCCGTGAGAATTTTTCTTAAAAACGTTGATTAAAGGCACAAAAAATGTAACTTTGCAGATACCACGGACTCTTAAGCTAAGGAAATAACTAATCTTCAGCGGCCATTTTCTCACATATTTTACCTCTGAAAACAGGTGACCCCCACTTCCTTCATTTGCAAATATCTCGACTTGTATTCAAGATAAATTGAATTATTTTTCATCCAAATAAAGACAAGTGAACAAGTTTTAAGATGATGCCAATAACTCTACATGCCCAAAAATTGACGAGAGCCTGATTCCACCACGCTGCCTCACAAATAACAGCAACACTTACCTCACAATATTCTGTGACGATGCAAAAAAATTCCCCATCAATAAAGCTGTCATGAAATTTGACTATACCAGGGTGATCTAGCTTAGAGAGCAGCCTAGCTTCATGCATGGCATCCACTGTTTCATCTGGCTGTAGATCTCCAACTGAGATCTCTTTCAGGACTTTGCTGGAAGGAAAAGTGTTCATTGGTACATGGTTACAGAATAAGAAACATAGCTTTACACATCATCCTTTGATAAGCAGTCATACCTATGACATTCGTAACTTCTTTGGGCTCATTTATCAACCTCACATCCTGAAAATGACACTTTTTCTGACTTCTGTTTAGAATATTATTATTTCACACTTATGGTCACTCATTGCCCGATGCTTTGTTATATATTTTGAATCAGCCCCTCACGCTGTGGACGGGCGTCATAATGCATTCACCTGTCGTTATTGTTAGTCCCTCCAATGAATGTTTACCCAAATCGACCAATGGGTAGGCCTAACAATAAATGTTCAACTGCTGGTGAGGGAAGCGAGATCTGTCATAACCTATAAGCCCCGCCCACAACTCATACACAAATCGTGTGTGAGGTGACTGGTCACTGTTTTCTTTACCCAATCTAAACAAAGTAACAATGGACATTGACCTGAAGCAGCGACAGAAGCATTGCTTGTTCTCCGAGTGGTGGCGACCTGTGTGTTTGTTTTATCATGGCACTCGGTCTTCATCGTCTTACTTTTTATTTTACTCTGGCACAAAATAAGCTACAAAAAGAAAGCAAAACAAAAACCAAACTAACAAAACAACAACAAAAAATCCCTTTCTTACACTACCCAACCCCTTTTTTCAAAAGAAAACAAAAACCCTTTTGAATTAGCCTTATGGCAGTTTTAAGCCTAAGATCAGCCCCGGTTTCTACCTCAGTGGAGAATGGTTTCGTTTCTTCATTTTGATCAGTCCAGCCTAAGACGGCCACCTGTGTTATACGGCCACTTTTCTCCTTGACAATGGGTGGCTGTTTTACACAGGTTTGACTGTGGTATTTGCATACTGGGTCTAATTATAGGAAACTGATGACTTAATCTAGTGTTACTCTGTGTCCCAGGGGATCCAAAACTGTACCCGGTGAAATCCGAACAGACCCTTTGTCATGAAGAGGTAAAGCTTTATGATCAGTCTTCAGAAGAGAAACGTGGCAGAGGCATAGTATTTCAGAAGCATCTTTAAAAATCACACCACACTTGGGTGTGCCACAGACACTTTCTCCACAAAATCGAAATCCAAAAGAGACAAATTAATTGTACAAGGCGAGATCCTTCCTTTACCAAGATAAAAACAGACACATGAAAGAGTTGTACACTTTTCTGGATACAGTACTAAGGATATATACTCACAATTCATTATTGCACTTTCTGTCTTTACACAAGAACGCTGTTCCAAAATTGCCACTCCCAAGTTTCTTTACAATCTCGTATCTGTTTGCAAGTACCCTTGCCTCCTTCGACTCTCTGTCTTTTGTGGGTCTGCTCGGAGCCATTATGTATCTTCACTGTGCAATACTTTGCTTCATTGAAAATTTGTTTTGCTTGCTCAGAGTGTATTGGATTAACCTGAAAAAAACAACCCAAACAAACAATTAAAAATAAAAGTAAAGATGAATGACAAAAACCAGAATTAAGTTAAGGGGAACAAAGGGAAACAAGAACTTAGTCAGAGATATATTGACGTTAATCGAACTTCTGCTTCTACAATACATCTGTCTGTTTCACAATAATGAGAGAAAAACTTATTGCAAGCCTAATCCTCCAATTACCAGAGGAACTCCGACTCCTGACTTCTTGTAAACTGTTATTCAATAACTCTAGCTGCTCTAGCCTATCCATGAGCTATCAATAAAGAAATTTTGGACATTCCCAAATGCCAGTCAAGTCTGTTATTTTTTCAACATAAAACACTACAACCACTGTTACAGAAAATAAAGTTATCATATGTAAAGTATTAATAATAGAGCATGGACGTTAAAAATTTGTGTTGTGTATGCATACTACTTATTTTCAGTGAAAAGTGTTCCGTCTCTCTCTCACACTTTTCTCTCTTTCACTCATGCATTTAGAGACTCTCTTTCTCTCTCTCTCTCTCTCTCTCTCTCTCTCTCTCTCTCTCTCTCTCTCTCTCTCTCTCTCTCTCTCTCTCTCTCTCTCTCTCTCCCTCTCACACATACACATATATATATATACACACACACAGACTCACTCTTTCTTTCACTCAAGGGGGCTCTCGTGGCCTAGAGGTTAAGGTGTCGGCCTCTCATTCAAAGGTCACGGGTTTGAATCCGGGTAGCGACCGAAAAATTTTCTTCTCTAAAAATGTCTCCTTTCACCTCCTTTCCTGCTCTCTAGCAATGTTCTGTTGTCTGCTTTCATTTTCACTTTCTGCCCCCACCCCCTCACCTCCTTTGCCCCCTCCTGCGCTCCTGACTCTTTCTGCAGCCTTTCTACTGCTACTCCTTGGCTTCTCCTCACTGCTGTCTTTCTGCCACACCCCTGATCTTCGGGTTGGAAAGATCTGCACCTAGCCTTCTCGGACAAGGGCAAAAAATCTCGGAGGGCCCGTGAGCAAGTTGCGCACGTTAAAGATTCCTTGGTGGTCTAAAATCAATAAGAGCTCTAGTAGGCTTCCGCCGCCACCCGGGCAAAATTAAAAATTTCCTACCAACTGAAAATATTAGGTGTGTCCCGCGCGCTCATATGACCTTATGCAGTTGCGAGCGGCGTAAAACACTTTACAAAAACTTTACAAAATCTTTCACTCACTCTAACATACACACACACACACACACACACACAAGTACATATGCAACACACACACACACAGTTAGAGGTTTGGGTTTAGGTTGGTGGGGCTAGGAAACCTTGGCCTAGGGCCTAGCCATGACTCTATACTAGAGACTAAAGACTATACTAGATCTGGACTAGATCTATACTTATTATGAATATGATAAAACAAAGGAAGTGGCTATTCTCACCCAGGGTGAGAATAAAAATACGATCTACCTCTCACCCCGGGTGAGACTTGCCAGCGTAGGCTATTCTCACCCGGTGTGAAACAAGACCTGTTTTTCCTCATTTTGGAATACTGTCTATCGGTGTGGATGATCAAATTGATAAAAGCCAAGAAAAAATTACGTTATAGCACAAAAGTAAGCTAATTTGATCGTCTTCAAAGATGCTATGGCTATTTCACTTTTCGAATCGAGCCGAACTACGCGGGTCGCCATTTTGTTTTGCCCGGAAGTTCTCGCAAGATCTACTCCTCCCCTCTCTGAATAGGCCTACTTCTGTCTATCGGTGTGGACTAAAACAAAGTTTAAAAATGATGTTAAAAAACAAAAATAAATTAATTTGGGTGTCTACAAAGATGCTACGGCTATTTAACTTTCCGAATCGAGCCGAACTACGCGGGTCGTCATTTTGTTTTGCCCGGAAGTTCTCGCGCTACTCCTCTCTCTCTCTCTTTCTCTCTCTCCACTGCCCACAGACAAAATTGCACGCTTTTAGGCTAACACTAACAGTAGTAATAGATCTCTAGAATGTTTGTACACAGCACAGAATTCTATAATTCTGTCATCACAGCGTAGAATTCTGTGGTTCAGGGTGAACGCTTCACTGGTTGGCCTAGGCTATAACGATGAACGCCCACCGGGTGAGAATAGAGGTGCCCTAAAACAAATAGATCTAATAAACATTTAAAACTAAATAGCTATAAAAAGTTAGCTGTGGATTGTCTTGAAAGGGAAAACAAAAACATTTCAAGGCTAGATCTAAACCCTGAGGCCCTTGACGAAGAGAACAGGATCTTGTCGGAGTCGAAAGAGATTATAGGCCTCATACTGCTGCAGCAACTCGAAGCGAAGGCGACCGATAAGAAAAAAATCTCGGCCAACGCCAACTGTCACTATCTGTGCGGGGATGATCAACCAGGATAAAAAAAAAAACCGCAAAGAAACAATGGTCACAAATATCTACAAACTATTTAAAGGTATTTCTCACGTATCGCAATTCCTCAGCGTTGTCAGTGTTTGGCTAGTGCGGAGAAAATCACCATTTCTCAGGTCTCCCTGCGGCGACTTGTTCCAACAGAGTAGCGTCCATTGTTACCCCGCGACATGGGTGATGTCGTTCAAATATAATGCGAAGACGGCCCTAAAATATTGGACATTGTAAAAAGCCAGAAAAAATAGTTCATTTTACCAAACAGACTTATGTTTTTAGAAAATTGACCTGAGTAGAGCTAAACTTCAAAAGGAAATAAACAAGTTACCTGAAACAAGTTTTACGACTTAGTTTCTTTTTTCGTTTCTTTCAAGAACCTTTTATGATAATTCGTTCATTAGTTTGGGAAGCGGAAAGTATGAATCCGCCAAGTCCGGTTGCCATCGGTCTTGGCAGGCATTAGAGATTGTTGGTTTATTGGGGGAGGGAAAAGGGGGGGGGGGGGGGGATACTGTTGGGAATGTCAGGATTGGTTTTGTAGTTATTTTATTCATGAGCACTAAAAGTTTCTGTTGCAATAAATTTGATGGTTATGCAGATTATGCAATCAGAAACGGGTTCATTTTTTAAATTTTAACAGCTTAAATAGTGACAAATGCTAAGCAGAAACAGAAAAAACGGCGACAATTAAACTGTTCTTCAACAATTTAAAAAAAAATCTTTACGACAGTAGGCCTACTACTGTCAGCCCAAATTTAATACATCGTCTACTCAACATGTCACCTTTATGTTATTGTCCTACATGTACCGTAACCAATTTAATAAGAAAATGAAGGATATTCGAGAAAAAATGCTGTTATTATTATTATGCTGTTCGGTTTCAAACCCAGATTTAAATCTGAAGCTAGAGTTGGAAAGTATTAGGTGGAATGTTATTTAACGATATTGTTTTGTTATGTCAGTTTTCAGATTATTTAAAAGGGAGCTAATTTATTTTGTGCCCCCCCCCCCCCAAAAAAAAAACAACCAAAAAAAACCCCAACAACAACCAACAAACAAAAAAACAACAACAACCAAAAACAACGACAACAACCAAACAACAACAACAACCAAACAACAACAAAAACAAAACTAAACTAAACTAAAACAACAACAACAACAACAACAACATTAACAACAACAACAACAACAACAACAATAACAACCCAAACAAACACACCCTCCCCCCCAAAAAAAAACAACAACAACCCAACTCAAAACAAACAACCTTCCCCCCCCCCCCCAAACACACACACACACAAGAAAACAACAACAAAATGCAAACACACACACACACACACACACACACACACACAGAGAGAGAGAGAGAGAGAGAGAGAGAGAGAGAGAGAGAGAGAGAGAGAGAGAGAGAGAGAGAGAGAGAGAGAGAGAGAGAGAGAGAGAGAGAGAGAGAGAGAGAGAGAGAGAATATTCCCTTATAACTGTTTTAAAAAGAAGATAAAGAAAACTTTTGTAAGAAGTTCCTAATTGTTCCTGCCCATATACCTCAAGCACAATCAATTAATTAATTATAAACCACTCTCCCGAGATCTGATCAGGCTAGGATATATGCCGTCTTTGCCCGCCGGATGTGTTACGTTCCAGTGTCTGTTTGATAACTGGTTGGCAAGTAGATATTATATTATAGTACCGGTAGGTTTTTTATTCCGTATTTACCCCTTCGCTTTTTCACTTTCACCTCCTTCAATTTTTAACAGGGGAGGCTACTGCTTTCGCTTTAACTCAAGAAACACCCACCATAGAAATGCAAATTTTATCGATTGCTTCACAACACGTACCATAGGCCCATTTCTTTTTTATATATAATATTTTTTTAAGAAAGGGATTATGATCATCAAACTTTCATTCTGAGTATTGATCTGAATCGTGGCAGCAATCCGTTCGTTTCTTCGGTTTATGCTTTGATTTGTGGCCCGCCAGGAGAATGCGGATATCATGAATGAATTCAACATAATATTATTATGGTGGTGTTACAAAATGAGTTACCGTACAACGCGAACATTTATTTATTTTTAAAATTGTATGCTGCCTATTGCTTTTTCGTCAATGTTTGTGTGTGATAAATACATTTTTACCACCAACTGTTAGTTGACCCATGCAAAACAAACAACTCATCTGAGATAAATCAAGTGACTCTTTCATTGAAAACATGCATGCCTGGTCATGCGACATCGCTTGAAGGCGCGCTGTTTTAGGTCACTCTAAAAGAAAGAAACTCCACTTCATTATTCAGACATACTTCCCCCCCCCCCTCCGTTTTCATTTTCTTTATCTGAAACCTAAAAGCAACAACATGGACACATTTTTGTACTTTAAAATATTATGCATACCGTGTTTCTGATGTGTGTACAAGGCTCGAAATGTGCCACAACATTTATAGCTTTGGTCTGCTGCTGATTGGACAAAATAATGCGTTGCTACGACATAAAAGATTTTTAAAAAATACCCCCTCACCCGCCGCTATTGCTGACAAAACACAATAACTCGTAGGTGTAAGCCCCCCCCCCCCCCCTTTTCTACACACTCTCTCCCACTCTTTTCCTGTCTAAAGGCACTCTTTCTGTCTCCATCTCTGTCCATGCCTTTGGCCGGCCTGCACTATGTCCCAGGCGCCTACACAACAAGGGAGCGTACGCCTGCCGGCGTGTCGGCGGGTCTGTCGGGCGGAACCTATCAATCATTCTACCTTTCATTCTATCATCCCTTCCCTTCCCTCCAACCTACCCCCCTTTTTTTCCCCCATCTTCCCCTCCCCCCCCCCCCCCCCCCCCCCCCCCCGGTCCTCGTGGTATTCCTCCCAATAATCATCCTCGTTCATGCCAGTTTGCACCACAAGAAGCCGTAAAAGGGAAAGTTTTGTTGGTTTTTTGGGGTTTTTTTTTGGGGGGGGGGGGGGTAGGGAGAGAGATAGACAGAGAGAAGAGGAGGGGGAGCTGGAGGGTGAAGAAAATGAAGAAAGAGACAAAGAGCAAGAGCGAGATAGGGCGGAAGGGAGAAAGGGAGGGGAAAAGGGAGGAGAGAGAGAGAGAGAGAGAGAGAGAGAGAGAGAGAGAGAGAGAGAGATTGTTTTCTCTCTTGTTTAGCAACATGAATAGCAGATGAAAAATGATGAGGATAAGGAATTATGTTTAATGAAATATGATCATTATTATAGAACAAAAGCGAATGACAGAAATTATCACTTGTGAACAGGTTACACGGAACGAAACGCACAACTACGCTAAGACTCAACTAATAGGCAAATTCAACAGAAGCACGAGGAATGTGAAAATCATGGATCACGGAAGTAGATTCCCATCGATATCGATTCAGTAGCGGGCATGGTATGTCTTATTTTGAATAGGTCGATAACTCAGCTGAACAAGATTGCCCTATCAGACATGGTGAGGCAATCACTCAGAGCCTAAAAGTGTCAATTGGCGTCGGTGGCCTCGTGGATAGGCTACCGGACACGTAATCGCCTCGAGGTTGCGGGTTCGGGGTTCGAGCTGCGGGCTCGACGTTGTGTCCTTGGGAAAGGCACTTTGCACGAATTTTCCTTACTTCACTCAGGTGGGAGTGGGTAACCGGCCTTAGACAACGAAAGATCTTGTTAGTATGTTAGTGTTTTTTACGCCTATAAATGGCCGCTTACACAGTATGCTTCCCAGAACGTTGAGGTTGTTTCAGAATGCTCTCAGGTGAGCTGGAGTAATAGTATAGATTGTGAAGCGCTTGGAGCTTGCTGCTGAGCGGGGATTTGCGCTATACAAATGTTATTTATTATTATTATTATTATTATTATTATTATTATTATTATTATTATTATTATTATCATTATTATTTTTTATTATTATTATTATCATTATTAAGTTTGGAAGAGGTTGTCAAGGACAGGCAAGTGTGATGTCGACTGCTCTCTCCTTAACGTACTTGACGGTATAAAGAGAGAGTAAGAGTAAGTAAGTAAGATAGTTTTGCAGGTGTCGAAAGTTGAGGCCAATTCATGTAAGCCCACAGGCACTTTTGGATGTATCAATGCGTCTGAAGCGTTCCCATTTGATAAAAAAAAAGAAAAGAAATCTTTATTTTGAGCGATGTCAAGTTGTTCAATTTAGGCATCCTTGGCAAATCTATTAGTCTATGTTAGCGTTCGGAGTGCGTTTGACATCCAGTGACCTTTGACGCTTCTTGAACCCAAAATTCCAGCAGCTGTACCTTATTGGACATACTGTCAATTACAGGGGCGGTTTGTTAACTGGTCAAATTTTTTTCCAGCTGGACTGTTGACAGGGGATTTATTGCTGCTGCTGATTTTCATTCAGTTTTAAGTAAATCCAAACAAACATGTATCAACATTCAAAAGCACCCTGCCGATTTGAAGGCGCTCAAACAAACAAGTGGGATTCTCTGCTGTTTATTTGTCTCGACAGAGCCTCATTCCTTCACGTTTGTTATCGCGCCGGCTCATAACTTAAATCATCTTCCCTCTCATCAAGCCGTCACGTCGCGGAACTTCGTAGGCTACTACGTACAAGGCCAAACACACGGCGGGCTTAGGCCTAGCGATGACGTCAGTCCTATGGACAAATTCATCGACAGCCCTCAGAACGAATAGTTAATCCCTTAATTGCCAAATTGGCCTCTTTGTAGCTTACAAAATTAAGATTGAGACTGTCTTGAGCAGCACAGACACATGTATTATTTTATCAGCAAAACATGTATTTATCATTCAGCCTTTCTCTAACTACTATGAGAATATTTACTGTTAGCATGGCACTAATCTTTTTTTTTATTATTGACTTTTAAATCATCTATAGTTCCTGTTTGACATTTACTCATCGTTTTCTCCCCACTAATAACTTACCTGGCCCATAGGAGTCTGGTGGGCGGCAGGAGGAATTGTCTAGTGAAGATATGTTAATAAGGAGAATTTTAACGAGGAGCGATAGGCCCTCGGCCGTCAGAGTCTGGGCCAGGCCTACCCCCTCCATTCCCTCCCCTTTTCCACCGTCACCCTAGCTAGACACCAAGTTCTATAATTAGCATTTGACACACTTCCCCACTTTGTTACAACACAGTGTTCTGTTCTAAGAAGTGAGAAGAGCGATGAAGAAAATTTGATGAACTGTTGTGTGCTAACTTTGTCCAGCTTTGTATACTATCTTAATTGTAGACTTGATCTGCTTGGGACAGCGTCACTGGTACAGTATCAATTGACTTTTTGTCATCATACAGGACAGTTTTTATTACATATATTTAACGGGTCCAGTGCACGTCGATATTTTGTGTGGGGGTGTAGAAAGTACGTGTACGAGTAAAGTACTGAAGGCCAGGACCAGCAGTGTATTGCCTCTCACTT